GGAAAAATATGCGATTTTAATCCGCGTGATTTTTCTACCTTTCGGATTGATACGCTGCGGAGGAATTATACAGGTTTTCTCCGCGGTGAAAATTGCACGAGAAAAACTCATTGCCTTAAAGTTCTGCAAACACGAATTTACACATCGTGGGAAATTTGAAAATCGTGTTCCACGATGTTTCGTATCAAAGTAGCACGGTCGACGTTTCCCTTTTCTTTTTCGTACAATGAACCAGAGGTGCTCGCGTTTATCTGCGAAGCTCTTTAAGTGCACTAAATATTAATAGTCGAGAATTGCTTCGAGCTCGTTCGAGCAAAGCCAGTGTGCGGCAAGCAGTTTCGATTAAACGCTACTGGATACTTCCCTTGTATCCCTTTCTTTTAAAATGCAATCAAAATAATTCATGATACGCAGCAACTTTCTAACAACATTCACATTATACCAATTCTTGATTCTACGTCACGTAAAAATTCCTTTTCTCTGTTATTTGCGGGGCAATGATCCCAAGGATAAGACATTTGTTGATAGAATTATTCTTTCGTGAAAAGAAATTAATTTTTTGATGCAGTTTTCTGAGTTTTGATTTAAAATATGTAATACTTGGGACGACTAATGAAATACAAAAAGTAATTTTTGCTTTATTTTTAATTTTAGAAAAAAATCATTTTTATAAATATGGTGCTATAATTGCGTTGCAATCAAAAATTACGTTTCATATTATTTAAACATATATTTGAATAAACAGTTTCATTATTATTTTTCTAAAATTCCCTATTTATTAAATACTTCCAGGTCACACTGTTTTTTTTTGCATTATTATTATGAAAAGATAAGTTCAATGAACTCTCTCATATTTTGTTTCATTAAAGATCATCCAGATCTTAATTGCCGATTACTTCTGTGTACGCCGTTCGTTAAATGTGCAGTGAAATTAAGACTTCTATGGGCGTTAAATGTTGGGTGCTTAATGCGCGCAATTCTACGCGTAGCATAACCATAGTAAATTGCTGAAAACTGATGTATGTTTTCGTCCCGTTTAACAGTAAATTGAAAGTTTCAAATAAACTAAAAAAGATTGAAATAATTAATAAGATTTATGTTCGTTCCGATAAAATTAACACTCGCGTTCGAACAAAACCAAGATAATTAGAACTTGAAATGATCACCTAAATTATGCATTTCTATGTGGCGTACTCACTATAGTTAACCAGAAAGGCAAAAGTGCAATGAAAATAGTCAAATAGAAAAACTAAATTCTCGAATAGTAAACGGTTGCACGAAACTAACAGAGTTATAATTACAAGAAACTAGAATCGTAATGTGTCTTTTCAAAAATTATTTGAAAGTAAAGTAAATACGTATGAATTTTGAAAAGCACTTTTTAAGTGTTCCTTCTGAAGTAGTTCAACAGGATAGATGAGAAAAGTTGCCTGCATTCCAAAGAAAACCGATTACCACAGAAGTATCGATAATATTTGTAAAGAGAGCTTATAAAACCTGTTGTTTTTAATTTAAGGAAAAATTGCTGAAATATTATAATGTTAGTATGATATTAATTATTTAAATAAAATTATTATTGGATCCGAACGATTATTTCTTTTGCATATATCGTAACAATTACTCACCAATCGCAGTACAGACGCCCAAGATTCTTGTCAGCGTTGTCAGATGAGTGTCTGTCCTCCTAACGTAGGTGGACATGCCGTCAGAATCCGAAGACACGTTAAAATCCTTCACATGTGTCACCATGTGACGATCGATAAATTTACTAGTTTATCGTGAAACGAAAACACTCACGGTTAAACAAACAATAATATAGAAACGATTGGCAGCAAACGAACAACACGTTTAGTATTCGCGTAACGCGTAAACTTTAGTGAGTCCAACAACATCCACCCCGTTTCGATGGCTGCGCGCAACTGAGAGCGTTAATCCTTTAGGGGGAACCTTTCGCTGTACCCGCGTCGAGGTTTACGCATGCGCAGTTTCCGTTATTGTCCAAATTCCTGCTTCTTTCGAACAATTTTCTGTAATTTCGTACAATAGGATGATTTCAATTGGTAAAATGAAAAGATAGGTAAAAATGTTATCTAGATAAAAATTTCAAATAACAAATGATAGATACATAGCTCACCCGTTTCATGTTCAATAAAAATTAGAATGAAAATTATAGACTCGAATATTCACACGAATAAATATAGTCTGACGGCCTCGCCTACCATTTAAAACTACAAAAAAGTAATTATTATCTAAAATACTGAAATTTAAACGAAAAATACCTTCTACCTTTTACCATTTCATAATTTCATATTAATTTTATTATTTTATATGAATAAACTATATATATCAATTTTGTAAAGTGGAACTCGAAAGTTTCCGAAATCCTCGAAAATATCGAAAATCTCATTTCGAGGATCCAACATATTATCGAAAATTCCGACAGTCTAGAGAACCCGAATCGTCCTGCACATCTTTAATAATAGCACTGTATCAGACAATTATCGTGGAAGTATCAATAAAATTAAAAAAATATTCATTATACAAATTATAAGAAGGTTACTGGATAAAAGTTTCTCTTCACTGGTGTTACAGATACTAGCATTTCCCTGAAAATATTCACATTATGAACAATTCCTGAGACAAATAATTATAACTCGATTTTATTTAAAGATAACTATAAAAAGAGTTTAGAAGTTATTTGCCCACATTAATATAGAAAATACCGCGTTTCATAAATATTTTCGATTTTTTTGCAATTTATATATTTTTCATACACTTGAATTAGAATATTAGAATTGTTTGTTGATAATCCTATTCATATATTTATTTTGTATATCTGACAATTTGAAAAAAAATGTTAATTAATAATTTAATTCAAGACGTGTACATATTGTATAAATGTCTTATTGTTCAATTTATATTAAGAAAAACATAATTAAGGGCAAGGTATTCTTAATAAATAAGATAGAGTTGTCCAAGTACTTAAAATTCATACCTAGACAACGCTTATTTTTTCAAATCAAGTAAAGTATTTAATTATCCAAGTAGTTTGAATATTTTATCAAACTTGAGAAAATTCAATCTGTTCAAATGTTCGAAGAATCCAAAAAGAGCCAAAAAATGATTGCTTTACAAGAAAAACAGTTGCAGAATCTCACCCAGCCCAATAAATACGATGCTCTAAACATAATAAATGACACGAAAAAAAAAACTTCGAATCCTAAAGTAATAAATAATATAATAAATAAACACCTTGTTGCAATTTTATAAGGCACAAGCATGATTGTTCGAAAATATAATGTTGAAAGTTTTCCAATCTTCCTTGAAAAATATATGAAGATTGTACATTAAAGTGTAGCTTGCACGTAAATATTTGAATTTCCAAATCCACGTGTTACCTTGAATTCGAGCAGATTCGCTCCGATCTTTTAACTTTTGCCTATGATTTTAAATTCATATGATGAACAATAAATCCTCTGTCACAAGGTTCGTTAAATTTTTCCAGTACATGTTGTATAATACATGTGTATTTAGTTGTATTTGTTCTATTTTTCTTTATATGTATTCTAATCGATCGCCGAACCATTTTCGAACTAATTATGTGTGAGCAGCGAGAAAGGATTAATGGCTGTGGCGACACCTTCCGTACTCGCCACCAGAGAGATCGCTCTCTCACAAGCGTTCTTTTCAAATTGTAGTTGCAACGCAATTTCCATGAATATAAAAACTGTGGCTCTCTTCGTTGGTGGAATTAATCCACGAGCACACATATATATTTCGTGATCGTTCGGTGTGGAGAGTTTATGTATTTTTAACAATAAACTTTACTCAACAATGGATAACAATGGATAATAATAATCTTTGAATCTTAGCACGAGCAGTTGCAAGCGAATCTGAACGGGGGTGGAAGTTTTGTTTGTCTATCTTCCGTTCTATGCTTTTCGCCATCAAGAGTGGAAACCTTTTTCCTGGCGCTTGCAGCGCCGCCTGACGTTCCTAGGCGCCAACATTTCGAATGGAATGTGAGCCGCCACAAAACTACATGAATTGCGATGCCGGTGTTACGTCCCGAGATAGCGGTTTAGGGAGAAAGGACGGTGGGTTGGTGCCCGTGGAGCGCTGAACCGCTCTGCTCGGCGAGGCGCGCAAAAATCAAACTACTATTGATTGCTCGAAAAAGATTGGTAAAAGTTTATTCGTCTTAAGCTTGATTTTAGATACAATTCTGTTGACTCTCAAAATCGATCTGTCGCTCCGCGGAAATCTTCTCGTCGTCCTCGGTGTTCATCCCTTCTCCGGAATATTCCTTGATCCTCCCTCTGGATTGTCCTGGTCCAATCGGGGTTCGTGCCTTGCTCCCTCCATCCGGATCGTCTTCGATCGATGATCCACCCCCGAGCCGAGTGGAGGTGGAGGTTTCGCGGCCATGTTGGAGCGGCGCGCGTGAGAGAGAGCGTGGGAGTCGAGAGAGAAAATGAGGCTAGCGGCCTAAACAACCCTTAAGAAAATTGATGACCCTTGTGAAAGTAAACGAAACTCGAAGCGAAGTGTCGCGAGGCCCTGCTGCGTGTCAAGACCATTGAAACTCTTATCGGAAATAGCTAATCGGTCACGGTCCGTAATAACTAAACAATAAACTAAAGGAACGATGGAACCTCGAAATCGACGCGGCCTTTAGAAAATAAACTAAGTATCTGAAAAGAAGTGCCTTCCTTTCTCTCTACCTTCCCCAGCTTGATCGCCCACGTTGAAAAATATACAATCGTATTGTTTATTACAATACGCTGGTCCGTTTGAAATTCGTTCTTAACTAAAACGCAGTTACATGACTCTGCACTCGACGGTGAATAATCGGGTTACAATTAATTCCCGTTGTGGCGCTATGTGCATTAAACCTACGTTCACGTGATAACGTAACACCGGCATAAGTATAGGAATAAACTAAAGAAGCATACTTGAAGATAGGGTTTTATCGAACCATAAATAAATCGTAATCTACGGCCAATGATAAGTGGCCAAATATGTGATTCCACTTAGTACGCAACAAAAATATATCAACGATTAAATGTCTGTTCAGGACGTGAGCTTCACGTTTCATAGACGTGGTGTACTAGCGATGAGTATACGTGGCCGATCTCCAAATAAATAATATACGGAAGAGTTTGTGAAACTCGACAACTTGATAGAATAAATAAGCAAACGCATCGTTGAACCTTGGGCCACAGAAATATTAACTTGCCTCGGTAACATTGTTAATTATCATTGTCAGTATAATTGACAGAAGAAGACAGCTGATCAAGTGGAACGCAGTAACAAAAGTTTCATGATAATGGAAGAGGCTGTCGTCAAATTGATAATAAGAGCGCCAAATCAGCAAATTAAAGATCAAATTGTAAAATGTGATAGCGGATGGACCATCGGTCGATTAAAGGAATATCTGTCCGAAGTTTATCCTAGTAAACCAGTGAGTAATCGTTGCTTTTATTTGTGAGCTCAATCGTACGTAATTTTATGATAGCTGTAGTCTGTTCATTCACGGCGATAGCAAAGTGCGTTATTGCTATTGCCGATTAAAAGAAACATAAAATCGCAAACTTTTGATATTATCAAACAAAAATATTTTCTATTATCAAATTGTTCATAAATTGATTTTAATAATTGCAATCTAATCATTGCTAATCGTACGTAACTCGTTTTTTTTTTATTAACTTGTAGTCATATAAGATTATGCTCTTAGTCTGTACGGATTACATTCACTTACATACTATTTATTCACGAAATTATAAGATAATAATAAATTTGCGAATAATGTTTAGAAATTACACAAATTATTTTTGATTATTGTATGCATTTAGGAACGATCTAGTCAAAGTCTTATATATTTGGGACATCTGTTAAATGATTCGACATGTTTGAAAGATGTTTTGAGACGATATGGCAGGCAGGAAGACCAACCGTATACAGTCCATTTAGTTTGCGCTATGCCAAAAACAACTACAAATAAAGTGACACCTGAACAAGATACAGAACATACGGATCATCCGAGAGTTACATTGGCGCAAATAAGATTGATAATTGCAAACGGTACACAAAATCAAGGTCAGGATGTTAATAATGTTGTTGTGCAACAGTCTCCTACACAGTTATACTCTATGCAACAATATTTTGATCCACGGAATAGTCAGCAAATGGCTTGGATGCAACAGGCATATACGCACTATTTCACACAGTATATGCAACTGTAAGTGATATTTTCATCATTACTTTGGTGATGTTACCGAAAAGGTACTTTCTCGTGGATTTGAACAGGCTTAAAATATGTTTCTTTTGCTTTACCAACTGGCAGTTGCGGAATTAAGAATCCACTGACCGAGCTTCAAAGCAATACTGCATGTATATCTGTATGACAGTCACTGATGTAAACTAAAAACTTTTATATTTTTCATTGTATATTATAAATGGGTTGGCAAAATTTTCTTGATGAAAGTATGTCAAAATACGACCTTATGTTCTCTTATTCAAAAAATTGCGTACTGACCTTCGGTTAAAGAAAATTAGCGGTCCTACTTTTCAGTCGTTAAATGAGGAATTGCTATACATATAATATGACACTATGTTTTGTTACAGTATGGCAGCACAAGGAATTCAAGTGCAAACTAGCATTCCATATGTTCAGCAGATGAATGTCAATACAAATGATAGTGTTCAAAATCCACATATAACTAATACAAATAATAATAATAATAACAATAATAATAATAATAATAATAATATAGGTGATGAGCAGCAACAACCTGCTGCTCAAGATGCCGATATTAATGGTGGAAATAATGGTGCTGTAGAAGATGGTGCATTTAATAGAGATTGGCTAGAATTCTTTTATATACTATCCAGAATTATTGTTCTCTTTAGTATAGTATATTTTTATTCGTCTCTGCTAAGATTTCTAATTGTTATATTTCTTGGATTTGTAATGTACCTGTAAGTTCATACACATATACATTTTATCAATGAAGTACGATTATAATATAAAAAAAAATCTAATACATCAAATGCTTTATAGATACCAGAATGGTTTCTTCCAAGGTCATCCTATTCCATTGTTTGATAACGAACGAGTAGACCGGGTAGATAATAATAATCAAGTATGGCAAAATGAAGCTATGGGTCCTCAGCCTGTGCCACAGCAACAAAATGGTCAAGTAGCAGCTGTAGAGAGACCTGGTGCATTCGGTTATGCTTGGATACTCTTTAGATCATTTTTTGCTTCTCTTATTCCAGATCAACCAAATGTTATCTAATTTTATCGAGTGTCAGTTCTTTGCACTCAATTTTGTTGTAAATTTTCTTCCTTGTTAAAAAAGTTCTCAAAGCCTGACACTAAACCCGTCGAGATAGTCTCTTTTAGTACATAAATTGATTAAACATTAAGAAAAAGATTTATATTGTTCGAGATTTTAAAGATAACTTTTGCAAAACATCATTTTGTAAAAATTTTTTGAACTTTCAAGCATATGGATCTTGTATACAATAATATATATATATATATATATATATATATATAATATAGGTATATATTTATTACACATTAAATATATGCGTAAAGTAAATGACGTTTTTATAAATATTTCCATTGGTATTTGTAAATTTTTGTATATTACTTTCTTCATTACTTGAGACTACCTCAGGGTTCATACATACAATACACTTGCAATCAATAATTATTCTATAGAAGGTGGTTTTAGCTTCAATTTTACAGGAGATTGATAAAAATCATCCCAAAGTATTTAGGATTCGTTAATAATAAACTTTCTGTTTTTGTAGTTATGTAAAGGTATAAGAAAAATATATACTATGTATATAAATCAAGTTATTGTAGAGCTTTTAAGATACTGATAAATATAAAAACTGGGAAGGATGATAGCAATGCATCATGTAATGTTTATTTTAATGATTCTTAGTGCAGGTGAATTTTCAAACGCACCTTGTACAATGTACTACAAATTCAAGCCTTGCTTGAATATGTATTTCGTGGATAAAATAATATATTAACTAAAATCTTCTTAAATTATAGAATTTCTGTAATTTCTTAAACAGTGGTAAAAGTGTTGTTATCGCGTTGCAAGCCAAGCTAATAATGTTTCACTTTCCATTTAGGCGATGTGCGAATATAGAAAATGTCTATTTTAATTTTTATTTAAAACGTTTCAATAAAATCCATTCAAAAAATATAAACATATTTTTTTCTTTTCTTTTCTTTAATATTATTGGTATCCAGGAATCGGCGCCGCCTAAAAGGAAAGTTTAATGCCGGTCCTTAGGAACCAGCATAGCGTTTAACGTATTAATAAATCGTATACAACAGAGATCGGCGAACTTTTTCTAAGAAGGGTTAGATTACAAACATTGTAGACTGCAGGCAAGAGATAAAATCAAGTATAGTATATACTTATATGTGGGTGTATAAAACAAAACTTACACAATTATTTTATTAACGAAGTACAAAATATATTATAATTTATATTAGTAATTAATACCAATATAATTTTTAAGAAATTAGTGCGAAGACTGGAATTTTTTCGTATACAACATGACTACAGTAGAACCCTAGAATCCGCGGGAGATCGGTTCCAAACTTTCCCGCGGATAATAGCGAACGCTTCATACACTGTACATACATATGTATGTATATACAATTTATTTACAGAGAGTCTCATTAAAGTTGAAATTATACAAAATCTTGTAGATATGTGATTTAAAAAAGAAAAAGCTGGCAAATGTGAATATTTATTTATCTTTATTATCTGTTCATCAGTTTTTTATTAAATGAATCGATAAATGTTTAGAAGCTTCATTTTTTACATGAAATAAAGTATCTTTCAGGAGAAAATGACGTCGTCATTTTAATAGAAAAACAAACACATTTTGTGCTGCGTTGCGTAATGTTAATAACTTTGAAACTAAATGATGGAATACATCGGACGATAAATATTTTCGATAAGAATTCTTTACTAAGGAGTAACCTTTACTAAAAAAATACAACGTTGCATGTCACGATATGGCAACGTTGCGCTCAGTTGTGCAGCCGCAGCCGCTCATGGCGCTCATGCTCATGTGCGTCCGGCCTCAGACTCTGATGATCAGAATTCAACTTGAAATAATTCTATCTTAAATACTTGTACTGAACTCAGTTTATTCAATATTGTAAAAAAATTATAATTTCACACTTGAAGGATGGTAAAGACCTATAAAGAAATTGACGAAATAATCGGTAGAGATTTTAGTACCGTAAGAAACATTAAAAAACCGCGGCGCGGTATGCTGTCTGGTATCATTTGAAAGTATTAATATTGTTAGCAGTCGTTGGCCGCGAGACAACGCCTTCAGTGGTTTGAATTTAAGTTGAATTAAGTTCAGATATAATGAAATGTAAGTATCGTTTTCGTTTGTTTTCTCATTCACTCCGATTATTGTTGTATTATAAACAGTGAGCGTTGAAAAATATTAGGAACATAATTTAAAATCATTAAATGTTTAACTTTGAATAATATTTGTATTCTTTAGTTATTTAGAGTATCATATCAGTATTGTCTAGAGTTTATAACTTATTTATAAGTATTCAATGTGAACTTTTTACTGATCTTATCAATGGGGGTAATTTTTTCAGAAATCTTTTTATAATTTTAAGTATTTTGTTCTGTATTGCGTAGGGTTCCCTCCAGACGTAGTAGAAACAGCTCAAGACGGTCTTCTGTAAGTATATTACTATTAAAAAAATTACAACATTGATTATATTAACCTTTCGCATATGATACATTTTAAATTTTATTTCAATTTAACCATTTCTGTGATCGCACTGCTGACACTTTGTGTTGATAAATGCTAATGTAGTGCTCCGATAGCTTCAATTGACAGTGCATTTAGATTCTATTTGCAGCTAAGTTTTTGTTATAAATTATTTAAATTCATGCTTGTCAAAACATAACAGATAATAGAATCTTTATGACATTTTGGACAAATTAAATTTGACTTAATACCATTAGCGCTGTTGGTTTGGTATTCTTCAACATGAAACTGAAGAAGTGTTATTATATTATTACTCTTGTTGCTTTATGTGTATTTAACAATAAGCTTTAGTTTTTCTAAACTTTAACTAATGTTACCGTTGCTTTCTCAAAATATGTAGATTCTTAAACCGCCTAAACCACGGCAACCATTGCAAAATTTAAATTTGAATAATTCATCCAGCGACAGTAGTCCTATGTCTACGATAAAGATGAAAAGGCGTGTTAGTTTTGCAGAGAAAAAGCATGTCAAGTAAGTTGGTTGTTCCTTGTATGTGAATTATTTTTTTTTGCTAAACTTTTGACACGAGATTGGGTAATTAATTCATCACATGAAATTCATTCTGTAGAGAATTTTGTAATTCCATGGAGCAAGGGACTATATGGGATAGTACGTATGAGGAACATGATATAAGCAATCTTAAAGTTTCATGCTCTCCTAGCGATGAAAATTATGACATCAAAAGTATATTGAAAGAGAATATTCAAGTTACTAAATTCTATAATAACAATGAGCTTACTTATATTAATTTTGAAATTGTTAGTTGTAGATACTCAAGATAGTGAAATTAGTCAGAAAGATCTGAATGTAGAAAATTGTGATATAAACTCCATAAATATAGTTGAAAGCATAAAATGTAATGATGCGTTATTAACTCGGAAAGAACTTTTAACGAATGCATCCTCAATTACATTTCCTAGTACAGTGAATCAGGAAAATGAATTTATTTTTGCAACTGATGCACAATTAAATAGTAATGACCATATACATAGAAGTGTCATTGTATACAACGACCCGGTGGAAAATGTAGCTAATAAAATTGTCTGTTCTCAGCAATCAAGCAAAAGTAATGTCAGTTTGTACAACACGAATGTTACATGCATTCAGGATATAGATATGAGTTTTACTAAAAATTTTTGTGATACTGTATATACTGAAAGTAATTATATTGAGAATAATGAGTTAAAAAGTACAAATAAAATTACAACATCAATGAATATTTTTGTAAGAGATACTCAGAGTTCTATGAATCTTTTGCAAGAGCAAAATATTGTGGAACATAATACAACGATGAAAAAAGGAATAGATCAAAGTATATCGATGAGAACAAATATAGCAGGATCAACTATGCGCAAGCCCATTGTTAATTTTGATATTGCAAAATCAGGCACTGAAACATTCGATGCTTCGATGGAAATAACTGCCGCAATAGTACCAACTATGAAAATAGAGGATACTACTTATTATGACACATCAATGGATATTACTGAACCCATATATGAGAGTGAATTATCTGATAGATTATTGCCACGAAAAGTACTGCAATGTAAACATAATAATACATGTGTAGATGAAATGACTATAGAGATGACCGAGGCAGTGCCAGTCAATGTATATTCTGTAAATCCTGATAACAGCATAATATATACAGATACAGAGATGGAATTTACTAAAGCTTTAACATCATTAATTAAAGTACCTTCTGATAATTTGAACTATAATAAATCTTCTTACGCTCGGAATTCTCATGATTCAATGTCGAATAATTATAGAAGCGATGATATAAATTTAGTATCAGATAGAACTAGAATTTTTCATAATACGTCGATGACAACTACAGCCGTTGTGTCACCATTGAGTATGGCAGATGCGTCTGAAAAAGAAATCCTAGATTGTAAGTCAAATTTAAATAATCAAGAGTTTGATAGACCTGATGATATAAATTTAGTATCAGATAGAACTAGGATTTTCCATAATACGTCGATGACAACTACAGCCGTTATGTCACCACTGAGTATGGCAGATGCTTCTGAAAAAGAAATGCTAGATTGTGAGTCAAAATTAAATAATCAAGAGTTTGATAGACCTGATGATATAAATTTAGTATCAGATAGAACTAGGATTTTCCATAATACGTCGATGACAACTACAGCCGTTGTGTCACCACTGAGTATGGCAGATGCTTCTGAAAAAGAAATGCTAGATTGTGAGTCAAAATTAAATAATCAAGAGTTTGATAGACCTGATGATATAAATTTAGTATCAGACAGAACTAGGATTTTTCATAATACATCGATGACATCTACAGCTGTTGTGTCACCACTGAGTATGGCAGATGCTCGTGAAAAAGAAATGCTAGATTGTGAGTCAAAATTAAATAATCAAGAGTTTGATAGACCTGATGATATAAATTTAGTATCAGATAGAACTAGGATTTTCCATAATACGTCGATGACAACTACAGCTGTTGTGTCACCACTGAGTATGGCAGATGCTTCTGAAAAAGAAATCCTAGATTGTGAGTCAAATTTAAATAATCAAGAGTTTGATAGACCTGATGATATAAATTTAGTATCAGATAGAACTAGGATTTTCCATAATACGTCGATGACAACTACAGCCGTTGTGTCACCACTGAGTATGGCAGATGCTTCTGAAAAAGAAATGCTAGATTGTGAGTCAAAATTAAATAATCAAGAGTTTGATAGACCTGATGATATAAATTTAGTATCAGATAGAACTAGGATTTTCCATAATACGTCGATGACAACTACAGCCGTTGTGTCACCACTGAGTATGGCAGATGCTTCTGAAAAAGAAATCCTAGATTGTAAGTCAAATTTAAATAATCAAGAGTTTGATAGACCTGATGATATAAATTTAGTATCAGACAGAACTAGGATTTTTCATAATACATCGATGACATCTACAGCTGTTGTGTCACCACTGAGTATGGCAGATGCTCGTGAAAAAGAAATGCTAGATTGTGAGTCAAAATTAAATAATCAAGAGTTTAATAGACCTGATGATATAAATTTAGCATCAGACAGAACTAGGATTTTTCATAATGCATCGATGACAACTACAGCTGTTGTGTCACCACTGAGTATGGTAGATGCTTGTGGAAAAGAAATGCTAGATTGTGAGTCAAATTTAAATAGTCAAGGGTTTGATAGAACTGTGTTATACCCAAATATGTCTATGCAAATTACAGAAGCAGTACCATTATTACATAGTAATAATCATGTAGAATATACTGCTGTGAATTCCACTGAAATCGGGCCCTTACCACTGTCTGAAAAAACTGGAAATAAAAGTCTTTGTGACGATTCCTTAAATCAAATTACCATACCTGATAATATCTTAAAAGACATAACTGCTTCAATGTATCCTTCTTCAGTTAATTCAAATGCGTGTTTAAACGAAGAAAGTGGTACAATTCCTAATTCAAGAAATTTGAAAGATAGCCTTGTCAATGAACGTGCTCAGAATGAAGTTCAAAATTCTATAAATATTGGAATTAGCATGACCTTGCATGACTCGATAGAGGAAGGTACTGGTGCTTCAGCTTTAAAAGGAAATAACACAGATACAGCTTCCGCTTCACTTAACATTGTACCGAATGATCCGTTCTGTACTATAACATCAGAGATAAATCAAAACAAATGCATACAACTTGAGCATTTACAAGATACTATATCGCATATTGAAAAGACATGTATAATAAAACCTTTTACTGATCACTCTTTTACAAGCAGTAATAAGGAAAATATTAACGTTTCAGAACTGAACAATGTTGTACAAGATAATGATAAACAATCTTTAGTGAAAGAGAGTTCTACATTTTGTAATGAAAGTTTGGGGGAATTAGAAGCAATTGAACCGCCATCATTTATTTGTTTAGACAATTTGTCAGATGAAAGTGTAACTGTTTCATGTAATCGGGATATTGATACAGAAAGGATCAAGAGATTCATAGTAACCGAACGTACAGACACTAAACATTTTAGATATAGTAATCAGGACTGTATTTCTGTGCAAAATAACCAGGTAAATATATTAGGAGAAAATACAAATGAGTCTGTATTATTTTTGAATGACAAACCGCTCAGTTTCAAACTTGAACATGAAGATCTGTTACAAATTGGTGAGGCCCAAAAGTTGCAATTGTCACATATGACCAATACTGACATAGAGCCCCAACCTGATTGTTCTTTGCCAACAATAACAGACACCGAAAAAATTTGCATATCTAATGTTAAACGGAAAACTCGAGATGTAAATACACAGAACGTTTGCAAAGACAACTCTAATGTAGAAGATCAAAGCATGGAATATTCTTCATTAAATATAAACGATAATTATGAAGGTACTTCTAAAGCTGATATTGAGAATAGTCATCTATGTAATGACAAATTAAAATTGTGCAATGATCAGAATCTATCAAATGCAATGAACACAAAACCGAGGAAAAATTTGGAATCCCATGATTCTTTTGTGGAAAATGATGTATCTATCGAATTAGATGCCTTTTCTTTACTAATAAAGGAATTGAGAGTTTGTGCAAAAAGGTAAACGAAATTAAAGTGTTTAAGTAATACCATGCTCATATCTAGTTTATATTTCGCCTTCATCAAATAATTCTTGTAATACTCTTTTTAGTAACGAAATTATTTGGGACGTATACCACGAAAATATTGAGAAAAAAATGATTATAATTGGTTTTATGTCTTGTTCGTTGTTAGTAATAATATATTCAAATAACGATTGCAATATCACAAATGCTCAGTTTATTAAAAACATTAAAATAATTTCACGACTTGCAGGTGAGTCTAAAGAAGAATTAATGGAGAATTATTGTTTAATGTTAACTGCTATTTTAAAAGAACAGATAATAAAATTTGATTAAAAATAATCTTTTCGCTAGATGATGCAGATGTGTTCATAAGCATAGTCCATAAGTTAGTCCTAGAAAAACTAGATGTCAAGAAATTGATGGATTTTTATAAAAATAATGAGGATATTTTGCCAATGTTAGAGTATATATCAACAGAAGTAAAGTTAGCTATGGACATTATGTTTGAATTGAAATATTTGGACAGCTTAAATTCGATGGAAATAACTCACAATAGGTATAAAACTGCAGACAATTAACTAACTTTCACATTGGTTGCAGCATACATTTCTTTTTTTATTTTAGCATATCTTTCATTTCACACACCATAAAGATGGACGTTATATTGAAGATTACAATAAATATTAAACCGTTCGAGAAGATTGAATTCCAAGACATCTCTGTTGATTGCTTATTAGGTTCAGCGAGGTCAGTTTATAGAAGAATATCTCATAAAAGATACTAAACAATCCTTTAATCGCACTCATCATTATTTTTTCCAGCGAGAAAACTGTTAAACAATTGATAATGAATGTAAAAAGGGACCATAAATTTTTTCGAAGGTGTATAAGTGATGTGAAAGATTACATATACATAATAGAAGAATCTAGTAGTACGAATAAAATTCCACGTTGATATATGTATCTTTCGTCAAGGAGAACGCTGGAATACGTTAATTGCACAATGGAATTTAATGCTAAACGAATGTTTCGATTGTATTGCTTATAATGATATAACAATATTGTAATTTTATATGTCACAACAGTGAAACTGTATAATAAAATATTTTATATTTCTTTTAACAATTGTGTAGAGTAAATAGCAAGTGTTGCATATACAGAGTACCTCCAAACAATGGAAACTAACTAGAATATGCGGAGTTCTTATGTATTTTTCGATTTTAGGCCTTATTTCAAAAATATTTAATAAACATTTATTCGTTAACTCTTTATTTGTAGTTATTTCGATAGTGTTGCGTAAATAATCGTCCTTCGCGGAATTGTAACGTTTAAAGTTGCGCCTGTAGATAGGCAACTTGTGTACAGCTGCGCGCGCATGATAATGATTCTCACTCGGTATGAGAAACTCTGCTTAGTGTCGCATCGACAGCAGCTGTTCGCAGATTGCCGTTCTACAGGCGGAACTTTAAACGTTATTAACTTTTTAACGAAGCCTCGATCAACAAATTGGTATTCTTGGTTTTCGTCATATTTTGGCCTCAAGAATCTCACATGAATTTTACCAGTGTCTTTAATATTTTATCTGTATGAAATAAATCTACGTTTTACACTGTGCAAACAAATACAGTTTAAACTGTGAGAATTTAGGTGTTTTCTTTCAATGAAGTGAATCTCAACAAGAACGAGCTGCGATGTAGTATAGATGGATAACTTAGAGCAACTACCGATCGTGAGTCCACGTTCGATTGATGCAGACATCATCTTCTACTGGTCTTTAAGTTGTTACATAAACTGCGAATTTACGAACTAAATTCCAGGGAAAATTTGTATACAATGAACTCCTCGATCAAACTGTCACGGACCGCCGAGAATCAACTTCCCCTTGGCCTTTCTCACCGAACAAAAATTACTTTTGTTCCAGTCGAAGCGGTTCCTCCAACTTTCGTTCAATAGCACGTGTCGTTATCATATTATAATAATATTCTAATTCTTTTACTGGTTACACAAAAAAATTAAAAATTTTAATGGGAGATTGTAGAGGTAAAAATAAAATGAAAATCAAGAATACCAATTTGTTGATGGAGTCTTCGTTAAAAAGTTATTAACAATTAAATTCAAAAATTTCAAATCGTTCTGGAAAAATTATTTTCGGTCGCTGGGGTCAATTACAATCATTTTTGGTGAATAGACATACCCCCGAAATCCTACCCACTTTCTAGAAAAAAATTTGAGAAGGTGTGAAATTTTTCGAAGGAAAAAAAAAATTTCAAATCGTTCTGGAAAAATTATTTTCGGTTGCGGGGGTCAATTACAATCATTTTTGGTGAGTAGACATACCCCCGAAATCCTGCGCATTTTCGAGAAAAAAAATTCAGTACGGACGGAATTTTAAACGTTAATAACTTTTTAATAAAGTCTCCATCAACAAATTAGTATTCTTGATTTTTGTTTTATTTCGGTCTCTAGAATCCCCCATTAAAATTTTTCCCACTGTATATTTATATATTATACATGTATATTTTTATACATGTAATTCATATAACTATTAAAGCATGTAATCGAAAGTAAATACGTAATAAAAAGTGAACACTATCTAACGAAGCTTATTCTTCAACCGTGTGCATCTTTGAAGAAAGTTTACTCCTCAAAGGGTTAAATGTTATTTAATTTATTAAAGTTATTGTAAAGTCAAATCGTTACCATTGTTATGTACCATCCAATCCTACTTTCCGTTTGATGTGTTATAAACATATGGCTCGTTAAAGAAGTCAAACTTTCTTTTACCGTAGCTACGCCAGTTCTACTCGCGTGGGCGTAAAGGCCCGGTTTTATGCGATTTCGTAACTGCGACAGACCGATTTCCAATATCAAAAAGCGTTTCGTGAAGATCTCGAGGGCATTCAGCGTCTCTCTCCTTCCTTGATCTCTCTCTGCGTTTTTTAAAACACCCTTGTGTACACGAATGAAGCCTACATTCAAATATTGGTTATGAAACAACCAGCGGTTGTGCTATACATATAACGAAGTGTGGGAAACGTACTCTACCTTGGCAATGGGCAATAAATACCATGAAAATAAGAATACTAGTTTCGTAAGTTAGAATCGCACAGGAGTATTTCACAATGAACAATTTGTATAAACTAAATGCCACGTATTTCTAAAGAGCTTTCCTTTATATAATTTTTCAATAGTGATATTAACTAAAAATGAGTAAATTTTCACTATAATGTTAACAAAGTTTGCGTTTATCACTGCTGACTCCAACAATTCTAATACGGTGCAAAACTGATTTCACGAAAAGAATTCGTATTAAGCAAAATAACAATAATAATTCTAATTTAATATCTATCATGGAAAGCCACTGTAATTTTCTTACTTTTTATATTCGAACATTGAATAAAGTGAGCTATGAGTTTTGCTCGATAAGATGACCGAATCGGTGAAAAAATCGTAGCGCACGAACGAGCTGTGACCTGTGTAATGATTTGTTTATCACTTATTTGTTGAATGGAGGATTTTTGTCCACCTAGATCGAGCATTCTGACCACTGCGACGTCGTGGCAGGCTGGTAACCTGTAACGGTGACGTCGGCCCGACGATACCTGCTCCGGGACTATGAGAACGAGGCGGTTAGCAGCGGGAGCAAGAGCGGAAGCGGTTCAAGTGGGCGTAAGGGTCGGGAGAGAGAACGTCGTCCCATGTTCCATACATGGCTATGCTATGTGGAAACTGAGAGACACAGAGAGACGGACGCACCGGCGGAGTCCCCACCGTGTGGACACGGCGGAGGCGACGTTTTCTCGGCACGAGTGCCCACCACATGCCCCGTGCACAGTATCAGCTAGCACGACGTCGTCGTACGGTCGGTCCTTTGCCTCTATGACCAAACACACGACACCGTGATCTCGTGGACGACGTCGGGACGCTGGTTATCCGGTTGTAAACGCGCGCGCGCACGGAAACGGTGGATTCGAACAGACGATGCGCCCGAGAAACGTGTCACTGGCGTGGGTGTTACCGTCCGTCTTCGCTACTTTCGGCCAGAAGGCATAGACGCCCGTCTAAAGGCGTCGGTTTCCAAGATTCAAGCGTCCACGCCTATGGCCGAGTGACAGCTCTCTCGGTTCGGCGAGCGTGCGATTGGTCCGCTCGCGCTTACTCTCGAGCGTTGCCTGCGCGCGATAGTCAACGTGGGTTGGATGCGTGAGTGCCCGTGCCGCGCCTGCGTGAGTGCTACGACGTAACGGCGGCGTGTGCGTGCGCCGAGCGTGAAGAGGAGCCACAGGGGCCACGAAACCAGAGGACACACATCGCTGTAGGTAAGTAAGTACGTGTGTACGCGCCAAGATCCCAGTCTTTCGGATCTCGTTCGGATCTTGGCCTTCTCTAGCCTTTAAGAACCGAGAATAACGCTTTTGGTTGTCCCTAAGGTCTCTCTCCGAATGCTTTTTCTCCGTCCGTGAATATCACCGAAGTTGGTCAGGTTCCTGTATCTCTTTAAGCTTCCAACTGGAACTTTGACAATAAAAACTGTTTCTAATTTTATAACAATTACCACTTCGAATTTAATTCGTGCATTTTTTTAAAGTATACTAGTTAATAGTACGTACAATACGCATGTGGTCGTCGTGATTCTGGTGGGTCATCTCACCTAGATCGATGCACCCACAACTGAAATCATAATTTATTAATAAATTCATCGAAGAGGTGGGTTTCGTTCTTAGCTTTATTTCAGAATTTAGTTACATCTTGCCATGAAACACGTCTATGAATTATTTGAGGAACGAAGTTTTCGAAGTCGCGTATTCCTAGGAATAACCAATACCAACAACGATCCATCTAAACGTATAAACTTTTTTCACCGATGTTCCTCGCTATGTCTGCCTCCTCTTTTTCGACGATCGTTTTTAGCATCCTACGAAGAACGAAAACCAGTTTTACGTCCGGACACGGACGTTGGCGAGTCGTAATACGAAAGAAAGAAAAAATCGCTCAATCGATGATCGTGCTTCTTCCAAAGACGTTTCTCCCGTACAAAATCGCTGTCTTCGAACGACGTGCACGCGCATCCACGTGTTTACCTTCGTTCGAATTTATTCGACGGATAGGAATATGAACATTCGAGCGAACGTGTAATATTTTCATTGCGTCAAAGTCCTCGTTAATAGCGCCACAGCCTTGTCTCTTAATGCTCCTACGTCCCACGTTTTACCTGGCAAGTTTCTATCGGTTCCATTCTCCTTTCAGTGAAGGGTTCTCGCCAGATGGAGAACAATCTGCATTAAAAAAAAATTGCAGAAAATACGCCTTTTTATCGTTTCGCAATCCCCAAATGTTCAACGTTTTCTCAGCTTTTGCGTTCTGGCTCTCGTTTGCTCGATCCTCAGCATCGCGATTCTTCTTCGATTCAGCGGAATTCGAGTCTCAAATTTCACGAACTGTCCCAGCGACTTCTTCGAAGCACCCGCGTATTTCCACACTTCTTCCATGATTTCCGGCAGGGTCAATGGGTCGAACCTCAGCCTGATCCTTCGTCGAATATTCAGAATGTTCTCAATTGCGTTTCTGATGAACTCCAACGGAATGCCCTCGGACATTTTAGCCAGGCTGGAGATGTCGATATCGCGATGAACCCCGTGGTACTTCATCAGCAGATCTTTGTAAAACATGTACAACGTGTTGTAGTCCGTGAGAGGAATCATTATGAACTTGTCGTGGATCCTGATGAAGGGTCTTGTTGCTTTATATGGCTCCGAGGAGGTCGTGAGAAATAGGATCTGAAAAGTATCGCGTTCCGATGTATCGTAAGCGTTGTGGCAAAAATTCATCGAGCACTCTTTCGTGAGCAATTAGCGAAAGGAGCATAATTCCAGATGTTTCGTTTTGAGCACAGTCAACGATATCAATCGCGTAATCAGAAAAATTATGATCTCACTGTAAATTTAGTAAAAGCCCTAAAAGAAAGAGTTAACAAATCGAAAATATAAGAGTTTCCAAGTATGCATATGATTTTGAAATTTGTAAAAGGATTCTGAAAGTAAATTTGTTTCCAACAAATGCTCCATAAGTACTTTTACTTTTTTTTATTATTCTTTGGATGTGACTAGATTTTTCGTTGTTTCACAGATCTGATAATTGTATTTAATTTCTTGATGATGGAATATCTACGCCAACGAGTAAGAGTATCTGCCAGAATCATCGATAATCTAAAATCCTACGTTAATTCGGTACCCGCCTACGCTTCGATCGTTCAGTAGGAGTTTCAGTTTCATTGATGACCAGGTTCGAACGATCGGAACGTTTGGGAAAGAGAAAGGGGGGGGGGGGTAGGGGAACTCGACTGGCTTTATTGAATTGGTTCATTCATATCGGAGACAGAGTCGAAACAGGAATACCGAGAATTTCATAAAGTGGGCGCTACCAGATCACCAACTTTAACATTCCTTGCCACTTTAGGTGAGGCACTGCAAGTCTTTTCAATTGCGACACCACGCACTTTCCTCTCAAACGTCGAGCAACAAAACGAAAGAAATATATCGCATTAAGATGTACACCGCCACTCGAAAGCGTCAGTGTACACGTTAACGAACAATAACACGTTAATAATACGACCTCATTCTTCCCGATTAATTTCCCAAAGCATCGGCGTTCTCTGTTTTCTATATTATGTATCAGGATCGCCAAAAATTTCGTACGGTTCCAAACGTGCAAATAAGCAATTTACTAATAATTTACTATTAATTTAAAACTTTTATAGCAGGAAATATTTTCATTCGATAATAAATTTTACTGCCTAAATTATAATCTATTCCCATCTTTCAGATAGCTTCATAGTATTCATAAAAAGCTAAACAAGCGCTACTTTTGACCTCTTAAAAATCGAAGTTTTGCTCAGAGAATTTCACAGAAAGCAAATTTGAAATAAAAGAAAATTTTTAACACGTTTAATGCCACGTTAATTTTACATGGATTGCTTGTGGCGCTAATATGAATTTTTTATCGTACGATACATATTATATTTAATAAGTTGAGACATATAATCGTGTTTAAAGAATTTATCTTAGTGGAGGTCACCGGTGACCACCGTTGAAATGCATTTCTTCAATTTCGCGCGCTTATTTTCTGCGATTATCGGTTGCCTCGGATTGTTTATTCGAGTTATTAACTGTTTCGCTAGTTTATTATTTTCGAGTAGGTCCAACAATCAGGTAAGACCGTCTATTTTACTCTTGTACGCTACATAAATGTTTACACTTAGTGTCTTCTATTTAATTATTAAAGTTAATATGAATTCATGCGACAATAGTAAAAGTTTGCTGAAAAAAAACCACGTCATGGGTTTAAAAAAATGCTGGGAACTGTGCGAAGATTTTGTAAGATATATCATAAAAAAAAATTGAAATAGAACTGGTACTTGTATAAATAAAATCATTTTTATATGTTTTATACTGCGTCAATTTCTAGACACCATTGTGGTAACAATGGTAGTATTTAAAAATTTATAAATATTGACATTTATTCTAATTGTGAATTTTTACTAATGTTTACGTTTATTATATATAACGTATTATTATAAATTTTTATATAAAAAAAACAAAATTATTAAATAATAGTTTTTAAATAAATAATAAAAATTACATAAATAAATGAATATATATCTAATTAAAATTTTTTGTGTGCCCCCCATGACGCTACCGCGGAAAGTACTGGTCACCGGTGACCCTCGTGGCATTAAACGCATTGAAAAACGACTTTTGATTCATTTTTAAGTGACACTCTGCGTAAATTTTACATTTTGTACAGGTTTGAGTTTCTTTCGTACCTTTTTAAAAATATAACAGCATATTACGTCGAAAATGCTCCATTTGGACGTTAATTTGTAAAATTGTGCCAAAATTATAAAAAAAATCCGATCGTCAAGCTTTCTCGTGACAATATACAATTAAATGTTAATTTGAAGATTTTAGTTTGAAGATAAGTATCGCCAAAATCCGTACGAAATATTTGACCAACCCAATACATAATTTCGCATAAAATCACCTGATCGCCGCGCTTGATGCTCTTTACCAGCCTCAAATAATACCGCGCAAATCGTTTTGGCTTATAGTGCCTCTCCTCCGGAGGTACTTTCTTCCACCAAGGTTTTTCACCATTATCGATGAAAATCACAGAGGGTGCATATTCCCGGGCCACTTTCGAGATCATGTTGATCAACTTCTGTTCGTTTCTTCGTCCAACGTACTTGTCTACCAGCACGGTTGGCGTCATGTCAAACAATAATGCGCCGACCTGCATGAAATTAAGCCGCGAAGGCTCATTAGGAGATACAGGGGTGTTCGTTAAATGGAATTACGTGAAATAATTACTTCGGAGCAAATTGCGTTCACCAGAAAGCTCTTTCCATATCGCGCGAGGCCGCAAATGCAAACTGACCGTATCAAGGGTGCGATCTGATGAATCTCTTTCGTGCTGAGGGGGAGCACGCAATTCTCCATGACCACTTGTCTGATCTCACCCAACCGATGCTTGTAGTCCCGAAACTCGCGGTCCGCCTCGTAGTTCTGATACGAGAGATCTCCCACCCAGTCGTTCAGAGATGTAAACGGATAGTTTCTAATAATATTGGCCCGCGCCAATTCGTTGAAAACATCTTCCACGGGGACGCCGTCCAGCGCATTCTTCTTTCTCTTCTTCTTCCGACCTCGTCTCTTGCCACCTACGCTGCAAGAAATTCCCGTAAAGTCACTTATATTTTGATGTATTTTTAACAAATATTGCTCCTTACTTATCTGTGATTTTGTTTGCTTACGAGGGAACGAGGCCTAACTATCCGACCTCGATTTTAACAGGTGTTTACAAGGTGATAGTGCATATGTTCCTAATGATGTTCTTTGATAAGATGGTTTGTGTTTTAGTTTGAACGATATGTTAAATGATCTCATGTTTGCTTTTGCAATTTTTATGCATAAAATTCTCGAACTACTTTATCTATGTAGTTTGATATTAGTGGAAGTTATGAGTGTCATGCAAGTCTGCTATTTTCTGTTCAGTATGAGTCTGAAACATTTATTTTGCAATGGTTTTTCGTTGATTGGACCAGCTGAACACCAAACATACAGCATCAGTATTGGTCTCAGGGTAGCTTTGTATATCAATTTTTTGTTTCTTACCATGAGTGAGTATATTTTCTTTAGGTCTGAGTATTATTATTCATTTCTCAGTGCTTGTGTCATGTAGTTTTCCTATGTTCGTTTAGAATCTAAGTAAAGCCCAAGGTATATCATGTTTCTTACCGGTGACGTCTTTGTGTTTTATTGTGTTTTTGCTTTTCACTAAAGATTATGACCTCTGTTTTATAGTCATAGTACTTTTCTAGGCTATTTATGTGTATTTGACTCCACGTCGGGCAACTTACCCTTCTGTTTCGGTACATCGAGGTGTCTACCATCGGTTCTATAGTCTTTCCTTAACGCCTGGTTCAACGTTTGTAGTTCGAGCCTCATCAATTCGTCGACTACTTTTCTCATCTCCAATTGAAGCTCGTAACAAAGATCGTTTGTGATCAGCTCACCGTAGATCTTCAACAGTGAGTCGTCCGATTCGTCGCGAAAGCTCCAGTTGCTAATGAAATCCTGATTAGCGGTATCGAGAAGGTTAAACGCCTCTGTGGCAGACATCCAAGGTACCCTTTTCCTCTTCTCGTCCGCTTTCTTTTTCGCTGGTTGCTCTTTGTCGCCTTTCTTCGCCGTTTTCTCTATCAGATACTCCTGGGGCGTTTGCGATTGTCCAGTAGCGATCAAAATGCTACCACCTAAATTTGCTGCTGGATAGACGCCAAAGTGACCTGTCTCGTTGTACCAGATTATGAACCATTCTCGAATCTCTTCCGTGATGTCCCTTATTAAGCCGGGTCCTCTGATCTCCCACAACTTTTCAAATAGTAATTGTCTTTAAAAAATATGCGATTAACTAATTGGACTAGATGATTTTGGTATACACTACGCGATACTTGATCAAACGCAGTAATATGTCCTATGTTTTTACGAATAGTACAGCGCGATGTATAATTATAGCATCGCCTAAATTTTTCAATGTTTTAGACTTTTCAGTAAGACCGCAAAAATATCAATTATACGAGCTCAAATATTACGATAAAGAACGAACTTTAGAAAAGTTCTGAGAGTAATATAATCGAGATATGTTTTGATTCGTTAATACTCCATTATTAGTTTAAAAAAATTCATCATTAAATAACATTTACTCGTAGAAACATAGGATATATTACTCCGTCGCTTAAATTATAGACTATACAGTAGAGAATTACTCTTGCTCGTTCATCCTTGGTTGCCTTTTCGATTCGAGCAGCAAACGGTGGCATCATTTCCAGCTTCTTTTGAAAATTTTCTTTATCTTTTACAAACACTTTATCGCATTTCCAGCTGGGTGTCGTCATGCCTAATAATTCCTCCATACATGCGATTCTTTCCTTCCTCATCTTCTTCGCGACGTGCCTCTTCCAGGCTCTCTGTATCGTTTTAGCAGCGTTTTCGAACGTAGATCTCTTCAACTTTCTTGGCACTATTTCCCCAGTCTCTAGTTTCCTCTTATACTCGTTCATCCTTTGCACTACGACATTCACATACAATATCGATGAAGACGCTTCTATGGTGCTTTGGAGCATTCCTTGGAAATATAAAACTGTTTCCAATCCCTTTTACGTTTCATCCCAGATCGCTGGAGTCGTTAGTAAACCTTTATCTAACGCGTCTTTAATTTGTAAAACTCTATTGTCAAATTTACAAGTTATAAAACAAATGTTATCAACAGTAGTTCAGACCTACTAGACCTCGAAACGTCAAAGGAGATAGAAACTAGTTTTGTGCCTTCAAGATATACTCAAAATGGCAACCAGATAGCGCAATCTAAAGTAACTTCTCATTTGTTGATTTTAGAAAATAAACATCTAACATAATTACATATGTCGAATGTTTAATTTTGTACATAAAAGGAAATGTTTAATATTCGTTGCACTATGTAGTTTTCTTCGCTCAATTATCGAGTATCGACGAATGAGAAATTATTTTAGACGTCCCTGTGCTTGATTCAATTGAAGCTTTTACATTTAGTCGCAGTGGAACGACCGATTCTCGCTCTTTCGTGCGTTTGTATCAGCAGTATTGCATTGCGCATAGTTTGCTCGGCAGCGATACGAGCTTCCCGAGCTGCGACTTGCTCTGGTGTTTCTTGAAGAATTGCCGGAATTTCGTCAATCTTGCTTTCCACTTTGGCCCTCCGTCTTCGCAGTCTCGGTATGCTTCCTTTGGATTTCTCAGACTCGATGATACTTTCGGCGTCGCTTGATACGGACAATTGCTCGCTCGGCTCTTCTGTCGCTGTTATTAGAAGAGATTCGAGTCATTCTGACGAGTGAAACAGTGTTTAAAACGAATGAAAAGGAGAAGAATTTTGGCGGATTGGAGGGCAAGGAGAATGGGGTGATGTTCTCAAACTCGTTGTCAGTGCTGATGATACTGAGAACAATCAAGGAGGGGGGCTACGGGAAAAAGGAGGTAAACCAGTGGATGGTGAAGATAGTGGATGTAGTATGGGGGTCAACGAGGAGAAAGAGGGTGTTGGTGTGGATACTCAGTCATGTAGGGATCGAGGGGAATGAGATGGCGGATAGGGTGGCGAAGAGGTGTGCACAGGGGCCTCCGGACACGGGGATGAAGGTGCCCAATTGAGGAGGTGTTGGAACAAAGGAAAAAGGATGGGTGGGAGAAGTTCAGGGAGGAGATGGAAAAGAAGGGGAGGGAAAAAGGCAGGGAGTATTTTAGGACATTTTGGGTCAGTGGTAAGAGGGAGAGGTTTAAGCCGTGGTTTGAAAAGTTAAGAGGGGTGAATAGGGGAGTGATTAGGATAGTCTCCGGGCTAAGGGCAAATCATTATAATCTGAGAGGGTCATTGGCGAGGAAAGGGATGATTAGGGACGGAAGGTGAGAGTGTGGGCAAGGGGGAGGAGAATGTGGAGCATGTAATGTTTCAGTGTGGTTTGTATAACCTGGAGAGAGAGGAGATTCGAGGGAGGTTGAGGAAGGAAATGGCGAAGGTAGGGGAAGACGTGGTAGGGTTGTTGGCGATGAATAGGACCAGGGTATATAGGGCAATGAAGGGTTTTTTTGATAAGATAGGGAAGGATTTGTGAAGAAAGAGAAGAAGATGGATGGAGGAGTTGGGTCGCGATAGGAGGGGAAAGTTAGGAGGGAGAGGAGGATGTTCCTAATGGGGTAGTGATAATTAGTAATTAAGAGTAGAGATTAAGTAGTGTTATTTTAGTTTTAGTTTCTTTTGTAATAGGTTAAGGTTAACTTTAATTTTAGTTGTAAGCGACTGCTGGAGGCGGGGTTAGGGTTGCGGGAGAGTTAAGAGGGGGAAAAGGAGAAGATGAGGGGAGGAGAAGGAGTTAAAAGAGTAGAAAGGAGGGGAATAGCTGGAGTAAGGAACAGGAGACAGGTGGAAGTAGGAAATAGAGGATTTAAAAAGTAGATGATAAATGGTGTTATTACAAAGTCGATAGTGCTAGTATCGCACCCAAAAAATATAGAATAGAATAAAGAAAATTTAAATGTCGTTTATAAATTGAACGACGTTTCAGTAACTTGCGTTTGTGTGCATTTTCTATTAGCTCTTCGATGCGTTTTCTGCGCTGTTGCACCACGTCTTTGCCAGCCGCAGACACAGAGATTTCCACGTCGTCGGGCACGTACTTCAATTGATTCATGAAGTTGTCGGGCCACCTGAGCAGTGTTTTATACACGATATAATAACAATATATTAATACACAACATGAAATAATAAAAATATGTCACTGTTTGATGAGTCTTCCTTTACAAAACATGCACAATTGAACTTCAATATCAATATTATGAAACTGTAAGCGACTGACTTTTTTTAATGGAACTAAAATACTGAAAAAGTTGAAAATGTGGATGTAATGGACATTTTTCCTTTCAAAAATATCTAATATCTTGTCATTCTCCATTCTCCTTATCAAAAGGAATATCCAACGAACAGACTAATACATTTTAATATTTGTTTTATAGGGCTACGCTAAGTTGCAACGTAATAATCCCGTGAGGCTTTAGCGTTGTAAATAGTACTGGTAATCCGTGAAGTTCAGATTAACAATCCGTCGTTTGTATTCGAGCATTCGACCGACAGCACAGTCCAGAACTCGTTTTATCAAGGCCCGTTTCTGCGTCTGTACCATTTGATCGTGACAAACTATGAGCCTCTTCACCAGATTAAGATACCTACCAAGATATCGGAGATCAATATATGCAGAGAAAATATTTTAAACAGTAAACACTTTAAAATTCAAACAAAATAATATTTTGAATATTATTTTAAAGAATCTTTAAAATAAATAATATATTTTATTTACTATTTACAAATTAAAATGGTATTTTAATTGTACCTAAGATACGTCGGGAGCATTATTTCCAAACCCATTTCCTTTATTCTTGTTTGTACCGTCTGTTGTACTCTTCGATCGAGCTCCAATAACTTGTCCAGGTCGTTTCTCGTGATGAGCCATAGTTCGTTGTAATAAGCTTCTGACATTAATTTCAAATAGTTTGTCTAACGATTCTTACGCTGTAGGATTATCAGCTGTTCGTACGAGAAGAGAACTGATAAATTTTAAAATGATTCAAGGGCCGAAAATTTGGGTTATTTGAGGTGATAATAGTAAAGTGACAGAATGAAAAACTTGGGAACAGGGCAGTGTTCAGTCGATAGTCTGTTCTTCGTTTCGTTTTTAACACATTGACAACCGTATTAACTGTATTTAAATTATGAAAAATATACATATTTAAAATCGCTTATGCTGTCTTCTGTGGACCATTTTAGTTTCTCGAATTTAAGAAAGATCTAATTCAAAGTTTTCTTTAACTCCATCATGGAATGTTAATTTCGGTCCTGGACAGTCAACAGGAGAGTCAGAGACGGTTGAACGGTGTTTATCTGAAAAAGTATTCAAGTATATTGATTTTACGTGAATACAAAGTACTTCATAAAACGTGATCATAATTTCTAAGTGAAATTCAGGAAATAAAGATAATACAGGCGGCTCGTGTAAATGTTTATCCTGATTTAAACAATGTATTTCAGGATGCTGTGGACGTCCCGATGTTCGCTGATCCTGTTGCTCACAACGCTGGCGTCGTGCATGGACACAACGGAGGATGACCTCGCGGAAGACGAGACGACGTCCAACGTGATTTCCACAATCGTCTCGACCATGACGTCGTACACGACGCTATCCAGCTTGAACATAGCCGGGGAGACGACGGTGAATTCGTCAAACGTTGCAAAAAGTCCGGACGAGGAAAATGATAAAGACTCGTCCCACGCGTTCTCGCCTTCGCCTGACACCGTTTGGGAGTGTCCAAATATTACAAAACCGGGCATCGAATGTTCTTGCGATTTTCCTCACACGTTGAGATGCACCGGCGACAGAACAACGCTGCAGGTAATTTCTACGCAGGAAATTGTTACTGAAAAATACCGAAACGTACACATTAAATCCATGATTTCGTTCAACTACGTTATTCTTAATTTAAATAAGACAAGTCTCTAAAATATATTCTGATTTGAGTTGGCCAATCTCTACCATCGAGTTTGTGATTGCACGAGTGGCTAAACTCTATCGATCATGATACTTTTGGCGCTACCAACACGCAAGTTCGTCCCAGCCTCTTATTATTTTACCATCCTATCGAGGTCAGTGATTTTTTAGCCACCAGCCAGGTAGGCGTGGGTGAATAGACCGCCGATGAACTACAAGTCGTACGTATTATACAGGGGACCATTGTACCAGACCCCTCTTTCTCCTTGTCTCGTGCGTACGCCCGTTGCTTTGCGTTGAATGACCCGTTATCAATTATTCCAACAACCCGTCTCGCAATACCATCGCGAATCAAACGATTCTCGTTACGCAATTCGAGATGACTAATTAAACCTGGTGTGGGTATTAAAGCTAACAACGAAAGATTCGTTAACATCATATTACATCTATTAAGGATTCTTAAGGAATCTTCACATCGTGGGGTTTATGATACGGACGCGACTTCTCCGCTATTTTCTAGGATCAGGCCTTCGAGATATTTTTACTTGGCAAATTACGTTACGGTCATTAACACGTTGACTACCACGTCACCCACATATGGGTGACACGACTTTTCACTAAGGAGTTAAAAAAATTAATTCTCAAGCTTAAATGTCAAAGAAAATAAAGGTAGGTAGGGCCCTTGAATTTTAACGAGTCTGTGAAAATAAATTCATTAACAAATGATGGGTATGCTAGTTTCCAGTTGTCTATAAACAAAATTTAATTTCCCTTGTAATTTGAGGAGTTTGGTCTGGCAGTCAACGTGTTAAGGAAACTCCAAACTCCACACAGGACTTGGAATCCTTGGAATCCTTGCCTCAATAGCGATTGAGCGCTCATCTGCAGACCATCGGGGTCTTTGGGGACTTTGGCTCTCCCCAAATGTTTAAACAAAGGCAACGTTCTCACTCTTGCATGGTGTACTTGGACACTGGACAGTTCCATGATGCAAAAAGCAGGAAACACCCTGCCAAGGTGACGTCTTTGAGGATTGACTTGACCAATCCTCCCACCGGTTAGCGCTGAGCGTTTTCGTCACCTTGGTAGAGGAAGCTGAGCTTAGGTTAAGGATAGCATCAAGTTCTCGGATTAGATTCGTTTTTGGTCGAGCCTTACAAACTCGACTAGACTCCTCCACAAGACGTTTCATACTCTTGTATAACATAAAGAGCAACGGGCTTCAGTTATCGATATTTTCCCAAACACCAGTTTAGGTGGTCCTTCGAGCACAAAGAAAGAGAACACAGTACGGAGCTGTGTAATACGTGTGGTACGCGCAGTACATAGCACGTGGGCATAGTACTTCGCGGCCGAAACAACATCATAAATCTAAACATTCGAATACTTTAAATACTCGTAGTAAATAATAGCATGTATCAGTTTCAACTGATCTCTACCCAGAAACTAATTATTAAAGCCAGTGTGTTCTCTTCTGCAGATTATCAGAAATCATCTGAGATTTAGTCGTCCAGGAACAATCTCTCTTCTCGATGTAACCGTGACGGGGATCTCCGTACTACCAGCGCGTTTCCTCGAAGACGTAGCCCTGCATGGGCTGGTTATTTCCAGCGGAGAATTGAGAAGCGTTCACGATAATGCTTTCGCTGGTTTGGCTAGTCCTCTTCAAGCTCTGGGACTTCCGAACAATCTCTTGGACTCCGTCCCGACGATTGCTCTGTCGCGCCTCGTTGGGCTGGAGCAGTTGGATCTGTCTCAGAATAAACTGCAAACTTTAGAAGCTGATTCCCTCAAGGTAAATATACTTACAATTATGTACCTGTTTCAACCAAATAGGTGTCTTCGTTGAATTCAACTTCCTCTTCTTTTCGACGAATTAGAATTCTTTCAGACAGAAAAAAATAATCTTCCTATTTATATGTCTATGAATTTATACATATACAGGGTGTTCGGCCACTCCTGAGAAAAATTTTGATGGAAGATTTTAGAGGCCAAAATAAAACGAAAATGAGGAATACCAATTTGTTGATCGAGGCTTCGTTAAAAAGTTATTAACGTTTAAAGTTTCATCCGTAGAACGGCAATCTGCGAAAATAATTTTTTTACAATGATTTGAAATTTTTCAATTTCGACGAAAAATCTGTCCAATTATTGAATTTTTGTCTCGAAAGTGGATAGGATTTCGGGGGTATGTCTATTGACCAAAAATGATTATAATCGACCCCCGCAACTGAAAATAATTTTTTTAGAAAGATTTGAAATTTTTTAATTTCGACGAAAAATTTGTTCAATTGTTGAATTTTTTTCTCGAAAATGCGTAGGAATTCGAAGATATGTCTATTGACCAAAAATGATTGTAATTGACCCCCGCAACCGAAAATAATTTTTTTAGAACGATTTGAAATTTTTTAATTTCGACGAAAAATTTGTCCACTTTTTGAATTTTTTTCTCGAAAATGCGTAGGAATTCGAAGATATGTCTATTGACCAAAAATGATTACAATCGACCCCCGCAACTGAACATATTTTTTTTAGAACGATTTGAAATTTTTTAATTTCGACGAAAAATTTGTCCACTTTTTGAATTTTTTTCTCGAAAATGCGTAGGAATTCGAAGATATGTCTATTGACCAAAAATGATTATAATCGACCCCCGCAACTGAAAATAATTTGTTTAGAAAGATTTGAAATTTTTTAATTTCGACGAAAAATTTGTTCAATTGTTGAATTTTTTTCTCGAAAATGCGTAGGAATTCGAAGATATGTCTATTGACCAAAAATGATTGTAATTGACCCCCGCAACTGAACATAATTTTTTTAGAACGATTTAAAACTTTTTTTTTGTCGAAAAATTTGTCCACTTATTGAATTTTTTTCTCGAAAGTGGATAGGATTTCAAGGGTATGTCTATTGACCAAAACTGATTGTAATTGACCCCCGCAACCGAAAATAATTTTTCTAAAACGATTTGAAATGTTTTAACAACATTTTAACGAGACCTCAATCAAGAAATTAATATTCTTGATTTTCGTCTTATTTTGGCCTCTAGAATCTCCTATTAAAATTTTTCCCAAGGATGGCCGAGCAGCCTGTATATCCCAGTTTAAACATTTCGCAGGGTTTGTCGAACCTGACGTACTTGGACCTGTGCGACAATTTATTGTCGCAATTGTCTCCGCAAGCGTTCGCCGCTTTGCCCGGATTGCGTTCGTTGAGGATGCACGGGAATCTTTTGAGCGTCTCAGCGTTGTCGGCGCTCAGAGGTCTCAAGAGATTGGAAGAACTGGACCTGTCCAATAACTTGTTACTAGGCCCGATGGGCCCGAATCTTCTTCCTCAAATGCCACGGCTGCGGATCCTAACAGTGTCTGAAAACAAGCTGGTAAACATTCAGCAGGGGGCGCTAGTGGGATTGAAGAACTTGTCATATCTGAGCTTAAGTCACAATCAGGTAATGCAATTTTCAAGTGCCTAAATACGCTTCTTTTACTCGCAAAATTATTTAGATAAGCACATAAAAAAGAATACTTTTAGTTAATATCTTCAATTTACTTATATCAGTATTCTTTTAAGTATGAAAATTTACATTGTTGAGCCTTTTGAATCTTTTGTCCAGATCCAAATTTAATTTGAATAGATAGATGCTCAGGAATAGCGTATTCGTAATATTAAATAGACACAAACCACCCATTAAAAAGTATTTCTATTTCCAGATCGACGTTCTGGAGGATCATTCGTTCAAATACTTATCAACACTTACCAGACTTGATTTAGCGAACAACCGCATAGTCGCGGTGTCCAGTTCGTCTCTGGCGCATTTAGACAAATTAACCACGTTGGATCTGACGCACAATTTCTTGCGATCCCTGACCGCCGATCTGGTGGTGCCATTGAAAAGTCTTCAAGATCTACGACTGGACGACAATGACATCACAATGGTAGCCAACGACGTGCCAACGTCAAAGTTACGTTTAAAGAGGCTCTCCCTGGCCGACAATCCTCTGAACTGCGACTGTACCCTACTGGAGTTCGCTAATTGGCTAAGCAATTCCACTTTGAACGAAGAGGACAAATCGTCGGCGATCTGCGCTACACCGCCTGCGTTGGAGAACGGCATATTGACACAGGTCTCCCCTGGCAGTCTGCTTTGCGGGGAACCAACACCACCAATCACGACCAAAGAACCTCTGACCAGTGTTCAACTGACATTGAAAAACTACCACTACGACAAATCAACCGGTGTCAGTCTTTTGTGGCATGTGGAGATGTGCGCAGAGCAGTACACTTGCGACAGATTGATCGTTTACGAAACCGTAAGCGACAGTGAAATGCGAACGGAGTCCAGTTCCCTGCATTGCGATTCCCGCACGATGGAAGACCCCTGCTCGTTACCAGTGATCATACCAGCATCGGTGGATTTGAAATTGGGCCACAAATATCGTTACTGCGTGATACTCCTGATACCGACCAATTATGACGACGTTTCATTGGGCCTGGGATGCACCGACGTGATCACCCTCAAGGAGACTAAACGAGAATTGCAGCAGGATCAAGAGACCATCGCGATAAAGCCCTCTGAGACCAAAATAACTGGCGTGCACGCGAACGTATCCAATCAGGGCTTCTTGCACGTCGACGTAAGCTTATCATCCTTGAAGAAGTCAAGTTTGCTCGAGTGTAAGCTATCCGTCGTGGTATTCGACGCTGAATCCGCAGTGCATAAGCAGAAACTCAACTGTAGTTTAACATTCGTAACATTGGAGGTAATATTGCCAGGTCGTTACAAGGTCTGCGCCAGTCTCGACGAAGTCACCGAAGAAGATGTTATCTCGAATTTCGTGAATAATCGGGATAGGCTCCGTTGCGTCGAAGTGCAGGGGTTCAAGCAGAACACAGAGATAATCGTCTTGGCGATTATTGGAGCAGGTTGTGCCCTTTTAATCGCGCTGGTGGTACTTGGCCGTAGCGTCGTGAAGAAGGTGAGACATCCCAGGATACAGACGCAATGCTTTCTACCCGCTCAGGAGTTCGAGATAACTCATAAAGCACATTATATCAAGTTGCTGGCTACGACGAAAGTCTGATCCCTCGCCGGCAGGCTAATTAACGTCTCAAGTTTTATTTAATAGATTGTAGAAACTTTTTAACCTATATGTCAATAACCAAGCACCAAGGTACCGTCTTTCAATGTTCTTGTTGTAATATCACAAAATCACCTTGAATCTTCACTTTTTGGATACTTCTACATTTATTTGCGTTTTCAATAATGCATCTGAAAAATGCAATTGTAGACTTTTTTAAATAGAATAGATACCCCGGTTATTTATAACAGTGAGTATTTTGGTTATTGGCATAAGAGTTAAAGAATGTATACAGGAGTCTTTCTAGAAACAGGACACCTAATAATCTCTTATTTTTTACAATATGGAAATACAATTTCCACTTTCAAGAGACAATTTATACAAGAGATTCAAGTAAAGTAACCATCACCCACTGTTTATGTTTATATAGGACTAGCTACACATTTGAGTTCAAGATAGAAATTGCTTCCTAATTGAGCTTTTAAGCAAATTGACAATATCGATGTTGTCACTTGAAATTGGAAATTACTAAATATTCCAGACACGATTCGAATGGTTTGAAAAGACAAACACGGTACAATAAAAAATTTGTTCAGTGTACTGTTTCAAGCGGAATACTGTAGATATTTTTCTCAGTAAAAGTAATTTTTTTCTTTCTAAGACTGCGAGGTTCTATAAGATGTCGTCGTGTCAGCATTGTAAATAGTACAACTTACTCTTGTTGATTATTTAAAGTTTTTGAAATCAAATAATTTCCTCGATAAGAGTAAAGGGTGTCGTATCTGATTCTATTGAACAAGATCGTTCCCATGAGCTACTAGTCACAAAGCCGATAATTCCAAATAGAATGATAAATATCAGTAAATCGTAAGAATCCATAAGAGATCGAGAGAACAAAAACGAGATGTAATTAAATTGATTTAAGATAATCGCTATGAAAATCATGTTCTACGTATATGGAATTATTTGTGAAAAGTTAATGAACGTGACACAGATAGATTTATATTATAGTAATCTGTTATTGTTTTGAGGCAGGTACTCAGTTCCTGCACTGCCGTCGTAATCTATTAAGTAAATAATATATGACAAAAAGAACAGTTGTACTAATATTTTACAAACATCAACCAATCACATACAAACTGGATTCAACAGTAGAATAATCTTCAAGTGAAAATAAAAAATTAAATTTTAGTGACAATTAATATTCGCACATCCCTGATATATCGTTACTATTTAACATTATAGAGAGTCATATTTATAAAATATTTTAAATTTTAGTTAATGTATAAAGTTAAAATTTTACATAGAATAATACAACACTAACATATTAAAAACTTAGCTTATATATTTTTACACTTTTCGTAAAATCTATGTAAATTCGTCGTAATTTATCAAAGTATTTGTAGAGTTGTAAATATCTTTAATAAGTCTTAAGGAACAGAATTCTGTTATAATTTTCTTTTCTATTACATCTGCTTTAATGAATATTGTTTTTTATAATATATTACTAACTTTGTAATACGTTATTTTATGTAAATAGTTTTTTTAATCTCTGCATATAAGAATATGCTTGTAACTGTAATGTAAAATATTACATAATGCTGATTATTACAAGTTCTATTGCATGGTCTAAGTGAATGTCCTATTAAACAAATTCCTTGTATTCCTTTATCACCTGATCCTTTTTGAAATTTCTACGAATATAAAATTACATTGAAATTCATTCAGTTATTTAGATTCGATAGTATTAATAATATAGATACATGAACGTACGTCTATAAGCATAGTAAACAAAAAATTCATTTTTTTTAATAGAATATAATATTAATAAAATATATTTATTTTATAATCTATAGTATACGATCGATAGAAATACTTTAATGTTAATCATGCAAATGTATAATGTGTAAATATATTAACATTCGAAGTCGAATTTCAGCTGTTACAAGAGCAAGAAGGAAAAGCTCGCACTCGCCTTCTTTCTCGATTTCCCGAAGTTGTTCGAAGTATCGAGCTCACGTAATAAATATGCGCCAAGCAATTATGTTATCAAAAAACTATAAGCACGATAACAAGATTGGTACTATAACCCCAATGAATTATTTTATTACGAAACGAAATAATACGATAAAATCATCGACTGAATTTTACAGCGTCCTTTTATCTGCTTCATCGTAGCCTGATCTGATACTGTCACACGTCACACTGCTCAATTATACCAAATCTGGTCACACTGTACTTAGGTATACATGTGTACTAACGCCTGTTTTTTGGAATCAAAACTTTGATATTTACACAAATTTTACATGTTTTTTACCATTTTTGCATTCTAACGGTGTGCATTATAATATTGAAATTAATTTATTACTTTTATTTTCAACCATAGTACAACCATCATCGGTATTTGAGATTTTCAGTTATTCAGAATGGACAAAATCGAAAAAATTAATTTGTTGCGGAATACAATTAAAAGTTATCCAGATTTTCCTATACCCGGTGTTGTATTTCGGTGAGTATTATGTCAAATTTATATTACATTGATTACTTTGATCGCGGATGATTAACCTCAAAACATTCCCAAGGTCATTTTTAAAAATAGATGTTACAGTTGTATCATTACGTTTCAAGAATCACTTATTTTCAGAGATATATTCAACGTATTCCATAACATAAGAGCATTGCGTGCAATGAAAGATTTGATAGTAGAGCATACTTTATTTCTTGAAGTTGATTTGGTTGTAGGTCTTGATTCAAGAGGTTTCCTCCTTGGACCTATGATCTGTATAGAATTGGGGAAACCTTTTGTACCTATTAGGAAAAAAGGAAAACTTCCAGGAAAGGTTACACAAAAAGATTTTACTCTTGAATATGGACAGGTCAGAATTATAACTTATAACATTCCACTGTTAATATCATTTTTGTTATTACTTAAAAAAATTCCTTTAAATAGGAGACATTTGAAATACAAACTGATTGCATAAAAAAAGGCTCACGAGTGCTTATCGTAGATGATTTACTAGCGACAGGAGGTAAGATAAAAGTAACGACGGAAGTTTTCCCAGTTTTATGACATATGTTTTAACTATACAAATATAGGTTCTATGGCTGCTGCAATAGAATTAATAAAATCAACTGGAGCTAAAGTGATTGAATGTTTGGTAGTAATTGAATTAAATGCATTAAAGGGAAGAGAAAAACTTAATGTCCCTGTTCATTCGTTCGTTCAATATGATTGATTTCTACTTTAAAGCAATGTGTATAGGGCAATTGTAAATTTAAGAACGTAAACATCATAAGCTGTATAATATCATCATTGTTTATACAGAAACAAAGTAAATTGTAAATTGTAAATGTAAATTTAAGAACGTAAACATCATAAGCTGTATAATATCATCATTGTTTATACAGAAACAAAGTAAATTAATATTTTTAATCTTATATATAAAAATGATTTATTATATTAATAAATTGTAGATATTGTATACAAATTTTATAATAAATTTCTACAAGTTAAGAATGTTTTGTACATTAATTTTCTGCTCTTGATTTCTGAGATCGTAACGAATTCAAGAGACTTTGCACTTCATATTCTAATTCGTCTACATCTCGCTGGAGTTTTTCGTAATGTTTTGATTTGTTATTTCTATAATCTACAACATCCTCGTCACTTGAAACATTTATATCTAATTCTGGAAGATTATAAAATTGATCACAAACATGCTTACACGTTTCCAGTGTTTTCGCCGTATCTGTTGTTCTGAATTTCCAATCTATATCTGATAATTGTTCTTTGATACATTTTTGTACTTCTAAAAAGTATATAATAATTTAAGCCTTCATAATTAATTTACTGTCATAATGCTTTCATTGCCTGAATAAAATTTTACCACTTAATCTTGTTTGGTGAATCTGATCCATAAAAGCTTCCGCTTCGTGTTTCAGTCTTTTTGCTTCTGCAATTTCCATAACTTTATAGTTATGTTTACGCATAATTTGTTCTTTTTCTTTTAACTTCTCCAATTCCAAAATAGAAATGTCATCAGTTAAAAATTTTGGAAAATCATGCAACATGAATGGTGGATATGGTCCTTTTAAAGGCAATGTTATTAATTCATTTCTAAAAAATAAGAGTAATTTTTATACAATATATGAGACAGTTTTAGAATGTTCTTATTTGTTATCAGTTATTAATTATTGAATATTTATTATAATCCATAATTGTTTTACCTGAGATAGCGATTAGGATGTATTCTTAATGGTATATCATTATCAAGTTGTTGAGCAACTTTTAATAATTCCTTCGCAGTAATATGACCTTGACTAGTAAAATATCGTTTAAACTTTTCTGGCGAATGTAATGAAGAAATTATGATTTCACGAGAACAAATACTATAAGCAACAACACTTATTAACAAAAGTGAAGGCCTTTTATAAGATATTAAGTTGTCCCAAAAAATTAACCATTCAGGACCAGATAAGACTTCGCTCATGGCAGTTTTTAAAAGTGGCCATGCATATTCACTGGATGTTACTCCTCGTTCACAAAAAATATTTAACAAAGATGGATCTGTATACAGGAGAATATTTTCTATTATACCTAACACATTTAGAGGCGGTAGAGGGTGATATTCAAACCACTTTTGACAATAATTTAATAATATGCTTAGCATGAGTTCAAAACCGAGTAAAGGATCCTTCTGTAATAAAAATAAAAAAATTGTTATAAAAAATAAAGCTTCATTATTCTTCAAATGCTATTCTTTAGTTCATTATGATAAATCAATAACCTTATTACCTGAAAGACCATAAGAAATGGAAAAACTAAACTTGGTAAAAATGAACATTGGCTTAATAAAGGACACCACTGTATTAAACAATTTATTATCGTCATCAACAATGTTCTCTTACTTCGATCTGCCAATGGATAGTTTTTGAGAAGTTCTGAAGTAAAATTTGCATTTGTTGCCTTGTTAGCCAAAGCATTGTATCCATTTCTATTGCCTCGCAATTTTAAAATAGTTGACCATATTAATACACGATATGCTTCAGGATATTCACCAAACTCTTTCAAAATGGGTATTAATCTTTCTGTACGCAATTCTTGTTCCATAAGTTGCTTAACACATTGTAAATGATCACATTTTCCATGTGCTTGTGGTCTGCACGATTTCTTTATTTTTGATAAGGTTTTACATTTCTGTGAAAATAAGTTTTCTGCGATTATTAATTTTAAGTGCCCTTCTTGTTCTATATAAGCTATATATCTGCCAGTAGGAGAAACTGCAATTTTCCTTATAGGCTTGACTGCTTGTAAAGTATGAATAATACAAGACTGATTCAGATCAAAAAAGTGAAGAGTGGAACTTGGTGAAATGCATATTAATACATTATTTGCTCCACCATCTAAAGGTAATGGCACAAGTAATAATTGCTTTGGTCCAACAAAGTTATCTGGTAAATCCAAAATCTTCAATAAATTCCAATCGCATGTGTTTAGAATAACAACTTTATTTTGAGCATTAGATAAAATCATTGCTCTTCCATTTTGTGTAAAAACAAAGTCTTTAATATTTCGCACTCCAAATGTTTTTGTATCAATTTTCACATCGTCTTCCAATCGATCAAAGTTCCAGGTTTGTAAATTATCATTACAATATAATACAACAATATGTCCTAAATTCGAAAAACTCGCTTTCTTTATTACAACGTTCTTTGTGCTAACTCTTAATTGTTGAGCTTTACTACAAGAATTTAAACACCATATTATAACTTCTTTGCATGAACTAGTTAAACAATAATTTTTATAAAAAGAAACATGTACAGGTGGTAATTTGTGAGCAATCAACAAATAGAGTTGGGTAATATTTACATTTATTTTTAAAATCTTTATATTGCCTGTAGTAAGACCCACTAATATCTCAAATTTATTTATCGGATTAAATGTTATAAATGTTGGTTGCCCAATATTTCCTAATTTTTGGTAAGATGGAGAACTATTTGATATGTCAATATAATATAAATATCCAGCTGAATCAGTTGTAACAAGATGTTCCTCGGAGCAATCAAATGCTACATGTGTAAAATTAACTTTCAAGGAACACTGTGTTCTCTTAGTTATTTCTGGTTCAAGTTCGAAAATGTCATTAACTTTCTTCAAATTCTGCCATTTCTTCTTATACATTATATATCGACTTATATACAACAAACAAGCCAAGTTTATTCCAAGATTTCTGTCATATTCTTTACTATTAAAGTATTAATATAAATTAAATCTAGGTTATGTTTACATTAACAAATGTCAAACACTGTTTACATCGTCATTGTTTACATCGTTTGAATCCGATGTTTTTACAATTTTGTATCCATGAAAATTGAAAACAACCAAACAAACATAGGAATGTTGGTCTTGTCTGTTTTCGATGTTTTAATTGCAAAACAAAGAAGAACAGAAACTCTACGACGATGCACCGTTTGTTAAAGTTAAGACCAGTGTGGCGGGCCGCCACTGGCGGCCATCAGTGATCAGTGATCATTGAATACATCGATCAAGAACGGCAGTGCCCTCTTGGGTATTGCGGGCCCCCTATTTATTTAATTTAATATTAAAAATAAAAAGTAATTCAATTCTCGTTCCAGTATCGTATATTGTTACGATTCTCGTCTTTACTATAGTATGTTTTCGAATCTGTACTTGTGTGAACATGATTCGTCTGATCTAAATTTTATTTTTGAGTTTAATTTCCTTGAAATTGTTAATTTTTGCCATAAACTTTAATTTATTGAAAATCCACGCAACAATATCAGTATTTTGAAGGGTAAAATATTAATTCTTCTTCTTGATGTCAACATCGTAATATTATTATACTATACTATGTATACTAAGATTCTTTAAAAACAGTGAATGATGTACTATTTAACATTACGACAAAGATCATTATAAGTTCAAAGAGTTTTGATTGAGAACAGTTATATTCTTCATCAGTGATTACGAAAAATCATGAATCACTGTGAATAATCATCGTAATTTTAAACGAACGTGATCGATTATTGTGATTCACAAGTAGCAATTCTAACCATCACTAGTGCCTAGTGCGTCAGTACTCGGCAAGTGGAATAGGATCTAGATATTTCGAATTCTATGGTTTGGAAAAATGACGGTAGTTGATTTTGCATCAATTAGAGCGTTCTAAACGTTTCTTTAAGGTGTACAAATATTTCGTGAGATTGTGAAGTGGATATGATTTTTTAATTTGACTTTTATTGTAATTGTAATTTATATAATAAGCTTATCGTTTAAAAATGGTAAGATTTATTTTTTATCTGTACGCAGTAACTTTCGTTTTCAGTATAGAATAGTTTTTTAGGTTATATACATTTTATTTTAAATTATTGCGAAAAAAAATAATACTTTTCTACGTTATCTGAACGTTTTGTTTACAGCTTTACGTGATGTTTTTTCTTTTTTCATATGAAAAGTAATTCTCGAAATTTTAAGTTTTTATTATGCGTACAGTAAATAATAAAGCGAGAACGTTTAATTTTCAGATATTTTCGTTATCCTATTTTACTTAACTGAGAGAGAAAACAATTTTAATAGTTAAAATATTGATGTTAATATCTATTTAAAAGTATTGTAACTCTGTAAGTTTTACAATTAAAATCATTTTATGTGCAGTCTGTTGCCGAGTTTTTAAAGGATTTACCTTCACACAATGAAAATAATTTTGCTAATTTTCATACAGACAATGGGAATAGAATATGTATAAAGAAACCTTCTCTTTATCTCCCTACAAAAGATCATCCTTCAGGACAAAGTAAGTTTTTACTTTATTACCGCTTAAAATGATTAAACTAAACATAGCTTATTGGTGCGGTTATTGTTTATAGTTATAGTGACAGAAAAAACAACCATACTATTAAGGTACCTTCACCAACATTGGGACAAAAAGGTGTGAGTTATATATTGAAGAAAAATCTTAATCAAGCGACAGATTTCTTAATATACTTATTATCAAAATTTTTTTAGAATGCTGATAGAAAACGAGATTTTGTATCCACTAATGGTGATTCTGAAGATGATGGTACAACAGTTCGTAGCAAAAGGCCACGTCTTGATCTAAACAATACCCTTTAAAATATATTGCACAATTTTGATTTCCATTACCCGCTGAAATACATTTATACGTGATCGAAACAAACCACAAAAGGAACAGCATTGGTCAAACATAATTTGGGAATACTACGAACATATCTACATGTTAGAAAGATTATTTCAAAACGTTACTTGTAGATTTTAAATGTATAATTTGTGTTTGAATTACATTAACCTCCAAAAATATAGAAAGTACGTTTTTAAATAATATTTCTTTAGATATGTAAAATTATCGTTTACCGGAAATGACAATTTTTGCATTGGTTTCATCTGCTCTTTTCTGTACTGAATTGCTTATCTGAAATTGAGTTAAAGAAGTTGATTCTAGTATATTGAGTAATACATTACTTTGGAATGCACAATATTTAGAAGCAAATGTGTTCATTGTTATTTCATTTTATATTGCTATTATTATTTTGTGGTTATTGATTTGAAAGGAGCAAAAATTTAATCGAAGTAATGTATTTACATTACTATTCACAAAGTAAGTATTAATTTTGTTTTAGTATAAGACAATGTCTCAGAGCATTTATCTTGAAGTAATTTTTTAAATTATTTTGCAATATAAATTTCATATTTATGTTACATAATATAGTGATAAGTTCGTGATATATATTTAGTTTACAAAAAAAAATAGGTGTAACATTGTTAAAAGGCTGAAGCTTTTAACTACGAAGTCCGGATAGAGGAATGGGAGTTTATCGGGGAAGTGAATTGGGCACAAAATTGATCCTCTTGTTCTCAAACGTTTATTATACAAAATGAAAACTGAACAAAAAGTAAAATAAATCAAAGGATCCCAAAACAAAAATCTGAATTTTTTCCGAAACAGTTTCGGCGCCTTTGTCGAATCGCAAGGGCTCGGCCGTTGCTCTCGATCCTGGTTGAGGTAGGCTATGGTTCCTGTGAACAGAAAAACACGGCTATGTGTTAGACACACGTAAACACGTTACACGTAGATACGCCGCGTTCGTTTCCTCGCACCCCTGGCTTCGTAATACGAACGTACAGGAGCGGGGAATTTTCCAGTTCGTAATATACGAATTATTTTGTGGACTGTATATTTTTACAGGCGTTGAAAGAAATTAAACTTCTTTTCTTTGCCGATTTTGCGTCGATTGCCTTGGCCGAGAGTTGCACTGCGAAGCCCGACAGCACGTTGTTCACTGCACGAATGCACTACTCGATGTGATTCGCAGCAGTATTTGAACTACGCGGGGGCCTGACCCACGACTCCGTTACCTCTCCGCACAGGTGCTCCTCTAAGCGTTACACCGCCGGGATCTGTAGAAGTAAGGAGGTGAAGACCGAAAGTCAGACGTCCTAAGTGGACGTCGACCTGACTACAGTGAGCCCACCTGGAGGTACACCACGTAGGTGCCTCCCTTCTGTGTCTCCTCAGCCGAATGGCAATCACAAAGAAGTGTAGACGGTATCCGTCGACCTCTTTGTGTTTCAAACGTTTATACGCTGAAACGACCGTTCAATTCTGCACAGGGAGGGTCGAGCATCTTACAGGTGTATTCTCGAGCCCCCAGAATTTGCAGTATTTGAAATAATTCAGGTTTTGAGTGTACTTGTACGAATCTTGTAGTCTATGTGCTTAATTCGAAAGAATATCTTCTTTCGATTTGCACTCGAGTTCTGGACGGACACGATCGGGAGCCGATGTGTCCAGGGCAGAAGTCGGTGTTAGACTGTGTCGATTGACAGCCGAAGACGTCGCCGTGATACTCTAATTAGTCGTTCCGTGGCGCTGTCTAAATTTCGGCCGTCTATCTTTGTCAGATTATCAACGCACTACTCTCTCACGGTACTGACATTACCAACACCGTTATCACACTCGAATCGAAGGTAATGAACCGTTACCGATGCCAGAAAAACCAATAATACACGCGTTTTTCTATCACTGCTCGCTGTACAAATTCTATTAGAGATAATCTCTTGGTTATTGTATGCTAACAGGATTAACGGTAATTGCGGCCGAGGATAATCGCTGGCATTATGCAATCTTTAAACAAACATAGTACTTTTTATTATTACGTAAATTTCAGTTTTTGTAGCTGGTTTATATCTTTTTGACTGTTACTTAAACGCAGATGATAATCTAATAAAATACTAACCTGTATAACATTTATACATATAGGAAAGAATTTGCTCTCACATGCTTTAAAAAAGATATATATATATATATATATCTGGATAGTATCATTTATTTTATGAGAATAAATGTTAATGTTTACCAAATGAATTATTTCATATTTTTGATATGACAACTCTTTCAGTTTTAGACAAAGAATATTTAAACCTATTAAATTCGAACTTAATCATATGGAAGAATATTTCAACAGACTTCTGTTTTCTGAATGCATAAATGTAATGATATATTACATTTAATATATAAGGTACAATTAAATAAAAGTTAATTACTGTACTTCTTTACGTTTATGTTTATTTTTAATGTATTATGTGTGCAAAATGTCAAAATTATATAATTTAATAGAATTAAAGAGTTGTAAACAAAACTTATAGCGAAGGTAAAAAATATTTGTTTTTCCCTAAAGATTATTTTCTTTCCTTTTTCTACGAATATAATAATCAAGTATTTCTTGTGATCTACGTAGTGACTCGGTACTATTTGATTATTTTACCGTAGTGTATTTGTTGTTTTTGCGGTTGAATCCGTTTGTTTATTTTCACATGTGTCGACATGCTATCGAGGTATACGAGGAGTAAAAGTCCTGCGGGGCACGTGTTTCCAAAAATCGAGAATTGTTACTAATTTAGCCTTTAGGACACTTTAACTTTCGTTTATTTGTAATCAAGAGCTTAAATAAATACAAATATCTGGATTGAAAAAATAGCGAGTTTCGTCAGATGACAATACCATAAACCTATTCACCGAGATAACTACTGAAATCCTAACACTATACAACATCTAAGTCAAATAATAATAATAATAAGTTTTAAAAGTTATAGAATAATAATAATTTTTTTTAATACAAAATTAGACAATATTGAAAGCAAAGTTACTCCGGAAATGGGTATAAATCACGAGATGCACACGTATTTTAGGAAGAAATTTAATAATATACGATTTTCATTATTCACAAATATTGCAAAGAAGTATATTGCTATACCGACATCGTAAACCCCCAATCAGAGATTAGTTTCAAGTCGGTGTTACTGTAGTAGAAATTTTATATTAAAAATATTTTATTTATTATACAATAACTATAGTTAGGTGGTTGAATCAGTTAACATGACTTCATGGGATGTAGATTGAAAGAGGTACACAGCGGTCCATCAAAGAAGTCTATTGTGCTACTGTCTGTATTCGTGAAGTTATATATTCCGCTGATGCGACTAGCATATTTTAACCTAGATTTGAAAAGTTAACACTTTACCTGCCAATAATCACGTTATTCTCAGTGAACGAAAACAGTAAAAGATAAATAATTACGGTGTGAGAATACGGTACGTAATAAATTAAAAATAAAAAACTAAATAACAAAAGAACGAAATCGGAAGTCGTTTAAATAACGCCGACAAGTTATGAGGGAAGAAAATACTTGTGCCGGTAAATGTGGTGAATAGTCCATAACAAGAACGTAAACAATGTAACAAAATGGCGTTACTAAATACTATTCTGGTTTATCACGATAATATAACAATGTTATTTACATCGTATTAATTAAATGTTAATTATCTTGTACATTTTTCATTATGTTAATTAATTTCACAAAGTTGTTTGATATTGTACTATTAAATTCGTTTAAATCAACACAGTATCGTTTTTTGAAAGATACACGTAGTTCTATTAAAGTTATGAAAATCCTCAATGTTGCGGAAAAAAATGATGCTGCAAAAAACATTGCAAGTTATTTATCTCGTGGCGCCAGTAGAAGGGTAATTAAAATTTATTACAATTAAAACCACAGAGAAGTGCTAGGAAATAATAACCAATATTTTTCTTTTTATAGAAAGAAGGATTGTCTCCATATAATAAAATTTATGAATTCAGTTGCTATTTGTGGAATCAGAATTGCGATATGATCATGACTTCGGTCTCTGGTCATTTGTTAAATCACGAATTTGTAGGATCGTATCGAAAATGGCAAGGTTGTCACCCATTAAGTTTGTTCGACGCACCTGTAGTAAAACTTTGTGCGGAAGAAAATTATATAAAAATTAAAAAAACTTTAGAAAGAGAAGTGAAAAAATGCAGTGCATTAATTATTTGGACAGATTGCGATCGAGAAGGAGAAAATATTGGATTTGAAATTATTCAAGTTTGTCAAGCAGTTAAACCTAATATTCAAATATATAGGTAATAAACTAAATGCATATATATATATAATTAAGCTTTGCTTTGTATATTGATAAATTTATTTTTCCATAGAGCAAAATTTTCTGAAATTACACAGGCATCTATAGATAGAGCTCTCCAAAACGTATGCGAACCAGTCAAAGCAATTAGCGATGCTGTCGATGTACGAAGTGAACTAGATTTAAGAATAGGTATATAATAACGCTACTTCATTATAATAGAATTGATTCATTTGTAAAATTATATGTAAAAGAAATAACGCATGTAGGTGCTGCATTTACGAGGTTTCAAACAATGAGACTTCAAAAAGTATTTCCTAGAAATCTTGCTGATATGCTCATCAGTTATGGCAGTTGCCAGTTTCCTACACTGGGATTCGTAGTTGAAAGATTTTTAGCTATAGAAAGATTTAAGTCAGAACCATATTGGAAAATAAAAGTAATGGATGTTCGTGATGAACTGTCTGTGGAATTTAGGTGGATGAGAGGAAGGTTATTTGAAAAATTACCTTGCGAAGTTTTGCTAGATACATGTCTAGAACAGCCTAATGCCACAGTACAACGTATCATAAGTAAACAAAAGAACAAGTGGAGGCCACTGCCATTGGACACAGTTGTATGTATTGTAATTCTAGTTTGAGTAAAAAAAAAATAAGATATAATTTAGTTTCTAGTATTTTATTAAATAAATTTAGGAACTGGAAAAACAAGGTTCTCGCAAACTTCATTTAAATGCAAAGGAAACTATGAAAATTGCTGAGAAATTATATACCCAAGGTCTTATTAGTTATCCACGTACAGAAACAAATATATTTCCAAAAGAATTAAATCTTGTTCCCTTGGTAAATCAGCAAGTAAATAATTCAGCTTGGGGTAATTTTGCTCAACGATTAATAGAGACAGGAGTGAGTCCTAGACAAGGAAAAAAAAGTGATCAAGCACATCCTCCTATACATCCGACAAAATGTGCTGGCAATTTACAAGGTGTGTATGCACACTTTACAATTATTCAATTTGTCAGGAAATATTTTTCTATTTCATTGTAACTAGTTATTTAATAATAGGTAATGAAGCTAAAGTTTATGAGTTTGTGGTTCGGCACTTTTTGGCGTGTCTTTCAAAAGATGCATTAGGACATGAAACAACGGTAGAGATTAATATAGCCGGTGAAAAGTTTATTGCTAATGGGTTACAAATTATCGAAAGAAATTATTTAGATGTGTATATTTATGAAAAATGGAGTGACAAAGGAATTCACATGTACCAAGAAGGGCAGGTTTTTAGTCCGACTAGTATAGATATGGTACAAGAGGAAACATCTCCACCGCGATTATTAACCGAAGCAGATTTAATTAGTTTGATGGACAAATTTGGTATTGGTACTGATGCTACGCATGCAGAACACATTGACACAATAAAGTCACGTCAATACGTTGGTTTGACGGATGGAAAGTATTTAATGCCTGGGAAACTTGGAATTGGATTAGTAATGGGTTATGACAATATGGGATTTCAAATGTCAAAACCAAATTTAAGAGCCGATTTAGAAAAAGATCTTAAATTGTATGTTAGTTTAATTACTTTTTTAATAATGCTAAAATTGATTTAGTACTTAAAACAAGTTTTAACTTTATATTTTTACATGCAGGATATGCGATCGGCAAAAAGATCCAAAAGAAGTGTTGCAAACTCAAATAAATAAATATCGCGACGTGTTTAAAGTAGCACTGGAACGTGCCAATTTAATCGATAATGCTTTAGCGGATTATCTCAATGAACAACCTATGGAAGCAGTAGAAGTACAAATTAATGTTCCGTCTGAGCAAGTTATCTTCAAGTGTCCGAAGTGCAAATTAAATATGGTACTCAGAGACAGAAAACAAGGCACAGGAAAATATATTGGTTGTATGGGGTATCCAACATGTAATAATGCAGTTTGGTTTCCTCAGACAGTTGAATCTGTCGAAGTTCTAGATGAAGTTTGTTCAGAAGTAAGTACAACATGCTATACAATATTTGCAATTTCAATAATTTATAACTCATAACGTTATTTGTAGTGTTCGGGAAATATGCATAAATTGAAATTAAAATTATCTAGAAACGCTTTCCCAATGTATGGTACTTCTTACATAACCTGCATAGGTGGTTGTGATCCTTCATTCAATGAATTACTAAACATAAGGAATGAAAGTATCAGAGTTATTAATCGAAGTAATGATACTGGTTATGATAGTATGTTTGATGGATCAAGATCAACCGTCCTTTCAAATCCACGAACAGTAAGAAATAACGACATTCGCCAACCTCCGGTTGAAAATAGGACAAATTTATCTAACAATAACACATCTGTAGGAGTTGTTCAAAGTCAGAATAGAGGTCGTAACAACACAAGTAGACCAAGAAATAACAATACAAATACTAAAAAACGAAAGAATTCTAAAAATGATGACACATGGCTTGATTCAAGTAATTATACTTCTTCAAGCACTAATGTAAATTTGCCAAGTACACAACAAAATGCAGCATGGGGTGATATCAATAGAGATGCTGTTATAGTGTGTAAATGTCATGAAAATGCGATTGAATTAACAGTAAAGAAAGATGGGCCAAATCATGGTATAGATTTTCTGAATATTTATCTTAAAATTTACTATAATTATCATTTCATTTTATTATTGTTATATAATTGTTATATAACATATTATAGGAAGATTTTTTTACAAATGTGCCAAACCTCAAGGTGCAGGTTGTGATTTTTTTCTTTGGGCGTCAGATAGCGCGCCGGAAACGCAAACTAATGTCAACAGAAATTCAAATCATACACAAATTGCAAATACAAGCAGCTGGCCGAGTACTTCTAATGCTACTTCTAATATACGGGGACATTTTAATGCATCCACATCATCGAATGATATTAAATGTCATTGTAATCAATTAGCAAAAGAGTAAGTAAATATTCGATAAATTTTTTCTGCTCCTGTCATTATACTAAAAACAATTTTTTGCACTTGTAGGCGGACTGTTCAGAAGGATGGTCCTAATAAAGGACGTTTATTTTATTCGTGTCCAAAGCCTATGAACGAGTCTTGTAAATTCTTTCAGTGGGCAGACGAAGACAATTCAAATCATAATCAAACGTTCGGAGAAAGAAATAGCAGCACATCTAGGGGAAAAGGACACGCGACACGTAAAAATGTACAAAGAAAGCCTCGGGCTACTGGCGGTAAAAGAAAATGCGGAAATTGTGGGATGGAAGGTTTGTATTTTATTTATGTTTTATCGTAGAAATTGTTGAGTTAAGATATAAATTTTTCTTTTAGGACATACAAGAAAAACTTGTCAAGAAAATGTAATGGATTAATAGAAGGAGAAAATCGTTGTTCGAATATAATTGAAAAATTTGAAAATGGTGATAGAAACAATTATTTTTGGTATTTTTTTTATGATAAATTAATATCTTTTTTTTTAAATACGCTGTGCCTTAAAGTATCGTACAATTTGTATATACAAATCTGTGTGTGTGCGTGTGAGAGAGGTGCGCTCGAGCACGAGTGTATGTGCGTACATTAACATATTAATAAGTTAATGAAACCGACATTCTAAATGTACGAGTATACATTTAGTTTTGAATACAAAAAGTGTCACACTGTTAAACGTGAATTAATATATATTTGTATCAAGATTCAGTGCCTTTATTGTACACTAAATTTCTTTTTAATCTACCTAGCTCTTCTTTTTGCATATGAAATTCTGCTGTTGTCTGTGTCAACTATAGAATACATAAGAAAATTAATATTAAACATTAACAATACTAAATATATTTCAAAATTAGAATAGGAAAATAAAATATTAATAACCATATCGAGTAGTACTTCAAATTTTAGCTTCAACAAGTTATTTTCTTCTTCCAATCTTTTCATTTCTTTCTTTAATTTTTCATTTTCCTTGTAGGTTCCTCCAATTTTACCAGATTCTAGAAAAATATAAATTTTTATAAAACGTTCCTAATATTGAAATTGTATTACAATATTTTACCTGGAATCCATAAGCCTGACTCAAAAACAGTTTCATGATCACCCAGTTTCAAACGTATAGGACCAACATTCGGTCCAAGTTCTTTTTCAATTCGCTTTGGACTCAAATCTTTATTTATTAAAAACACTCCCACTTTTCTTGTTGGCGTTTTCTTAGGAGAGAATTTATTCGAAAACAAGGGCATTGTATATACCAATGATTTGAGGTTAACGGTTTATATAAACATATAAGTAAAATATCTGTTTATGACGATCAATATTTGTAATGTACAAATGAATCTTTCTAACTTTAAAATCGTGATGTAGAAAACGGTTCGATTTCGAGGTTGTGTTTAATTATATTAAAATTTATTTCTAAAATAAATATACATATATTTAACAAATGATACAATAAAACAGGATAACAATGTTACTTTGTAACAATAGATTCATCCAAGTTGGATTGATATTCTATTTATGAAGAACATAGGCATGCGAGTCTCGACTGCTCGAACATTTTTACTTTCCGATCTTTTAGGTTAGGATGGATCTTTTACCCTAGTTTGAATGAATAACTCTTCGTGCTTCCGTTTCAAAAGCATCGTTGCTTCCGTGTCATGAAAACTTCGTTCGATGTACGCTCTGCTCTATACACTGTCCGTGCTATTGCGAAGCTTAAGTAACACCATCTAGCGTTTCAACTGCACACTAACTAGGTAAAAGTTTGTTGGAGGAAGAGAAGGGCAAGGTAAACGTATTGAAGGTAGTGCCAGTGGTGGTGGTAGTGGCGGCTGAGATAAGTACGGGAGATTGAGTGTACGTCAGTGAGATTTTGCCCTGTAAAACAGTTTCTTATGTTCAGTTCATGTTATAGAGGTTCAGTTGTATAGTTTGAGGCGTCGGGAACTTGACGATTAGTACAATGTTAAGGGGTTATTCGCGGATTACACAGGCACTATTGGGTACGTTATTTACATGGGCCCTTACCGCAGCGGGTGCCGCACTCGTTCTTATGATTCGAGGAAAACAAGTAAGTTTGTATCTACTTTCTTTTGTTTTAGTTTGGAAATCGAATATACATGCAAAGTACTTGCTCTTCGCCACGTATCTATTGATAGTTTATCGGAGACAGGCGTATTTCGTTCAAATCTTTTCTTGTATAGTATATTCTAACCTTATCTGATTTTGTTGTACTTACATATATTGCGGGAACAACTTTTTCTTTGAAAATGTGTGTATGGAATTGTCAGTCGCTTATACATTTCACGATGTAATCGCGAGTACGATATTTACAATACTTATTAAAATATTTTGTTCGTGACGTAATGTTCTGAAAATTGCTATATTCAGTGAGCATTCAAGGTAAACACAAATTCTTGATTCTTGAAAAGCGTGACCTTGAAAAAAGATTACCAACCGACCATTATACATGTTTAAATCGAAGGATTCTTTTCTCTTACACGTTTTTATGTCATCAAAAACCAACGAATATATTTACAGTCTGTGTATTATGTTACAAGAAGTAACTAATATTTCTTTTTTGTACAAGAATTTGCAAACTTAAGCGGTATATAAAACTTGTTCCGTAAGCGCACTGTAATCGTAAACGAGATTATCAGTTCTACGATAGTATATTGTTTCTGCAGCGTATCGTCGTTAACTGATATAACATTTAAGTATTAATTAAATCGATCCAGAATATTCTTAATATTTATAAAAACCACGATCGATACAATACACAAATTTACGCGTTAATATGTAAAATACGGCTACGAATTTCACCGTTATCTTTTGCGAATAATATTTGCGTTTCTTAATTTTATGGAAAGTTAATAACACTTGTTCATTATTTAAGTTTCACCTGATAAGATTAATTGCGTATTAACACTTTAACTACCGTGTGTGTTTTATCATCAAAAGATAAACAAACCTTTTATATATTTCAATACGTTACACAATAAATAGAAACGTGTACAATTTTTAAATATTTGATCCGAACGACATATGTGTACACGATTCTCGCACGGCAATTAATACGTTAATTACCGCGAACAGACGTTTTTCTTTTATGTTCGATTAAAAAGTGGATCGTAACTTATCGTGAAAATGATTATTTCTACTTTCCAAATTAGTTTTCACCATTGAGACATTGAAAAATCGTATTGCAATCCGTCGTTGTTGATCCAATTTCACGCAAGTTTAAACGATTTTCTCGCGCGAATTTTGAAATGTAGGAAACCGTGTGGAACGTACCATTCGTCCACGAGAAGAAGGCGCAGCGTGTTTACATCCCCACTTCTGTTGTAGTCCGCTGACTCACAGACATTGGTCGAAAACGATGACGAAGGTCGGTGACAGCCAATCAGCGGACTGCAGCAAGAGTGGGAATGCAAACATGCTATGCCTTCTTCTCGTGGAAGGACGATAAAGGTATCGTGTCTACATCTCCACTCTTGCTGCAGTCCGGTGATTGGCTGTCACCGATCTTCGTCACCGTTTTCGACCAATACCAGCAAGTCAGCGGACTGCAACAGAAGTGGGGATGCAAACACGCTGCGCCTTCTTCTCGCGGAAGCACGGTAGGATATTCACGGCAAAGAACGGTTATAAAAAAAAATGTTATCGCATTTTGTTGCAGCGTAAGCTTTTGGATGTCAGCCTCGGATTCGCGGCCGGTGTGATGATAGCGGCAAGTTATTGGTCGTTGCTAGAACCCGCTATTGAAATGGCGACAAAGAGCAAACTTTACGGAATGGAGGGCGAATATGCGTTTGTACCAGTCGGAGTTGGATTTCTTATAGGCGCGGCCTTTGTTTATGGGACGGACGCGTTGATATCTTCCCTTGGCATTCAGTCCCCCAATGTGCTTTTAGCTATGCAGTCAGTCGGTACGAAAAAAAGACGCAAGAACTTTGCAAAACTAAAGAGTGACGAGGATTTAGACGATTATGATCCATATAGCAACGTACAGATTTCCGATGGGAAACTATATACTCAAATTGAGTCGACCACCATCGATGGTATCTCATTTTTTTTTGTAACACCCAATTCTCTCTGTAGGCTTGGAAAATGGGATCAGTTCACGATATACACACGTATTATTCTGTATATGCAAATGTCAGCGTACACTCGCCCCTCTTTGCTTTTTCAGCGATCGGCTATGCTCGGAAATAAGCAGTTTATAAACATATTTTTTTCCATTACTGTTGTTACAGTAAATTATTGCTTATTTCCGAAGTATGCTTTGTTTTTTGTTAAGTGTATTGTGTCTAACATTTTGTATTGTGTGAGTAGTACCTAGTGAATTCCTTTGTTAGTGTCACCAGCTTTACACTTTAAGTATGCAAGAGATGGTTGCACATGCATGGGAGTATTCTGTTAATAGTATGTGGAACTTACAAACACAGAATTAGGAAACTAATTAGGAAACTAATAACCAATTATTCTAATGCATCGCATAAATCTATAATCATTAGAATGTATCGGATGTGTGGTTTGTGTTTCTAAAGTTCCATAATTCTAGAAAACTGATCTTATTAATCCTGCCTGCAGATCTAATGTGCAAAAATTTTAAAAGAGGATACTGGGTTTCAAAATCGATATGCTTTATTACACTTTGTTTTAAAACACAGAAAAAGGGGAAGGCATGATTTGTTTTTGGAAGTAATGGGTTAATGTTGTACTATAACATTTCTAATGATATCACATTTTTCAGGTTTCAACGATCAACATACCAGAAGACGTCAAATTGCAAATATAAATAGACCGGCGGAACAAGGAGAACTTGAGGAAATTTATGAAGGTTTTAACAATGAACGTACAAACAATCAATGGAGGAGAGTTTTACTGCTAATTGTTGCTATAACGGTACGTACAAATTAATTAAATAACGTAGCAAGTTTTGCGTGTACACGTATAACTTTCGTGATGTATGTATTAGGTGCACAATATCCCAGAGGGACTTGCTGTTGGAGTCGGATTTGCTGCAGTGGGAAGCAGCGCGTCAGCAACCTTTGAAAATGCACGGTAAGCGATACGTTTAAGTTACTTCTAAGAAATACCTATGTAGAAAAACGTTTACATAACGAAACCTTTACTAATGGATGAGAGAATGTTCCAGAAGTATTTCCATGTCCTACGATTTAAGTTCCGATGCCACAGGCCATAGTCGGCTGAGCGTTCAAAGTTGCGCCAATCGTACACGTCCTATAATATGTCTTTTTTAGCGATATAATAGTATTTTATTGTTTTCAAATTTGCGAGCCTGATACATACTGCTCGTGTTTGGTCCGATCGACGTATGGTTCTAACCCCGTGGTTTTCAAGTTTGGCCCGATTTCTTTACCACGAGTTTCACACATCGTTGTAGTCGAAAGGGTTAAATGCGTCGTGTTAATGAATATTTAAGTAGAAAAATATTTATTTTGCGTACGTGTGTCATTTAGAAAGAGTTATATCTATAACACTTCCGAAAGCAGTTTCCATAGTGGAATGCTTTGTGACATTGATTGCAACGACTACGCTTCAGCGGTATTTCGATCAAGACTTTAATGCGCGTAAATTGAAATTGTTCGCTTAAATCAATCGTCCCTATTCCATTCATTAGAAGAGCCAGATAGGTTAAGTGCAATGCTAACGGGATAATGGATTTCAGTTATTATTAAACGATTAAAACGATCGCTTCGACGACCGCGAAAATGCTTTGTTTTAACCGCGTGCATTCTTTCTGAATTCGTTGATCTTGATTTTGGTTGAACGACTCTGATAGCTTGTGAAACTGGCGAAAAAAAGTTTGAAAATTTCCCTTCGTGTTTTGCGAACGCAGAAAGCAGAAAAGTTGTTATTCCCGGAGATACGACGCGATCGCAGAAAGTCGGATTATAGTCCGCTAGAGGGCAGCAGCGTAAAGTCGCGAGGCGTCGGCATGGGTTACGGGCTCATTGCGTGATAGGAGGTCCCCATGAATGAGTTCTATGGTGGTCGGTTGCGAGTGCCAGCCGCAGGCGAAGTTTATTGGCAGCGGTTGGTGCCCGAGGCGAGGGGGAAGGGCACGTGTGGCCCTGGAATTCAACGAGCCCTAGGCGCCGCGCATTCCATTCCAGCTTCCCGCTTTCCCCGCTCCTCGTCTCCTCCTCCTAGACTTCTCTCGAACTCGCTCTCTTTACCGCCTTACGCCTTTGACTTTAGAACACGAAGACGATGCCCGGCGATGACGTACAACACACATCGAAACGGTATGACGTTGATTTCATTTCTGCAAAAGCCAATCGAACTACGACAAATCTTATTTATAGAAAATGTCAATCATAATCGCTTGCTCCCTCATCTTCGACCTTTCCCTTGTTAGTCTTCGTTTTCTTACCCGTTTTTTTTGTTTCTCGCGAAGATATTCTGCTAGTTTCCTACATCTTACTTAACGAATTCGGTCATCGTACCAGAAAGTCTCGGACAAGCAAAAAATCGGAATTGTAAAATACAATGATTCCGGACGAACTAATAAGTGAGGTTATACGAGTACGATTTTGTGTTCTCGACGTACTTTTTTCGAGAGAATCGAATTACTTTTGAGATTGTACCACGTATTTTACAACATGCTGTATGTGACGCAAAGGATAGGAGGGGATAACCGCGATTATGATTATTATCATGGTTAAGGAGGTGCACGTGAATCGACACGTGCTCGTAAATAGTTATTTCCGATTCTGTTGGTCGAGGATCGTCGTTTGATATACATGCACGGTTGCACCGCGATTCGTGGAAGTAGTTCTGCAAGCTATAGAAAAAGAGAACGCGAAAGTCTACTGTTTCTATTTTTCCAGTCGCGTGCGCTTCTGCGCGTCTTTTCGCGCATTGCCAGCGCGAAAATAAATGGCACGCTCTTAGCGATTAGTCGAACGATACGACCGAAGTCGGCGCTGCTTTCGCAGAGGACCGTGTCAGGTTTGAATTCCAAAGCATTCAAACGACGACGCGTTGAACGTCGGACGTTAAGATCACGAGTGTCGGAAGCCCATTAACAATCCGTAGAATGAATGAACCGTGTCGGTGTTTTTTTTTCTTTTTTCGGTCGCACGATAATTAAGAAATACAGACAAGATGTGTTTCAATCTTTGCTTCGCGTTTCTCAGATATACAGAGAGTCACGGCCAAAGTCGTACACCACGTCGTTCGTCTCGTAAACAAGTTTAGGAATAATTTGGAAAAACGAATGATTTTGGTTGGAAATTATAGGGGTTTTTTTCCTTTTTAGTAAATAATAGATTCTCTATGGGGTTGAAGTCCGGAACTCTGTGCAATCCAAAATAGAAATATTTATCGCTACGAAGCAAATTTTTTGCGCACTTAGCTTTGCGTCCAGGGGTTTGATTATGCATATTGATAATTTGTATTATTATGAAACAAAATGTATTATACAGGGTGTTCGGCCACGCCTGGGAAAAATTTTAATGAGAGATTCTCGAGGCCAAAGTAAGACGAAAATGAAGAATACCAATTTGTTGACTAAGGCTTCGTTAAAAAGTTATTAACAATTAAATTCAAGAATTTTAAATCGTTCTGGAAAAATTATTTTCGGTTGCGGGGATCAATTACGATCATTTTTGGTCGTTACACATACCCTCGAATTCCTACCCACTTTTGAGAAAAAAATTCGAGAAGGTGTGAAATTTTTCGACGAAAAAAAAAAATTTCAAATCGTTCTGGAAAAATTATTTTCGGTTGCGGGGGTCAATTACAATCATTTTTAGTGAGTAGACATACCCCCGAGATCCTGCGCATTTTCGAGAAAAAAATTCACTACGGGCGGAACTGTAAACGTTAATAACTTTTTAACAAAGTTTCCATCAACAAATTGGTATTCTTGATTTTCGTCTTATTTTGGCCTCTAGAATCCCCCATTAAAATTTTTCCCTGGTGTGGCTGAACACCCTGTATAATAAATAATCCACAAAACCCGGAATTAATCGCTCTTTAATAACCCGCAAAAAGAATCACAAAGAAACATCTTTTTTTCTTGCCTACAAGGTAGAATGGACCCTTAAGGTGTAAGACCACTGTAAAAACCTGAAATAAAGCGTTTTTTTTTTGAATGGATGGAGAAGTAAGAGAATAATAATATTAAAAAATGTTATTAACCATGTCGTTAAGTGTTATAAAAAAAAATATTTATTCAAAAATAGTGCAGAATGACAACGCTGGAGCTATTCTTGCTGACTGACGTAATTTTGTATCTGGAAAAAAAACAAAAAATTGTCTCTTAATCTACATGAGTATAGCTAGAGAAATACGTAGGGGATTTTTGAAACATTAATTTTTGTGTGATTGGCGAGCATTTGAAGTAGAAAGTTCAGTTTTGTACAAGAAATGGGGCAATCATTTGTCAACAAATAATGTTAAAATTAACTTATCGAAGATCCTCTACGTATTTCTCTACCTATACTGATGTAGATTAAGAGAAAATTTTTTGTTTTTTTTCCAGACACAAAGGGCCCCGCGCAGATCTTATGGAAAATGGCCCCCGGTTAAATTAGTTGAATCTTAGTTTTTTATTAGTCCATGATGTCTTGATGAAAAGTTCCAATGGGCCCAAGCTCGTGAATTGAACAGTTTTCGAGATACGGGGGGGTCAAAAGTCAATAATAGTGCGCCTTATTCTAGACTACCACGTTTGAGCATATTTGAGAGTAAGAAGCACTGTTGTACACTGTACATTTATTTGGCCCCTTAAAACTCAGTAGTTGTACTGTGGGTCCTTAAATATTACCCCTTGACCCTCTGACCCTCTGACTCCCATTCAAGAGACAAAATAAAAAAACACCAAAAAGGTGTAACACTCAAATATGCTCAAACGTGATAGTCTAGAATAAGGAGCGCTGTTATTGACTTTTGATCCTCCGTATCTCGGAAACTGTTCAATTTACGAGCTTGGGCCCATTGGAACTTTTCATCAAGACATCATATCGAAAGTTCAGCTAATTTAAGGGCCATTTTCCATCAGATCTGTGCGGGATCCTTTGCGTCAGTTAAACTGCATGCTGCAGAGCGCCTCAAATTCAAAACACGCCTCGGAAGAATGGCTTCAGCGTTGTCATTTTCCACTAATTTTGAATAAATATTTTCTTTTAACACTTAACGACATGGTTAATAACATTCCTCTTACTTTTCCATCCATCAAAACAAAAAAAATCGCAAAGAAACACTTTATTTCAGGTTTTTATAGCGGTCTTACCCCTTAAGGGGCCATTCTACCTTGTAGACAAGAAAAAAAAGATGTTTCTTTGTGATTTTTTTCGTGGGCTATTAAAGAGCGATTAATTCCGGGGTTATATCTTTTTTTAACACTTAACGACATGGTTAATAACATTCTTCAATATTATTATCCTCTTACTTTTCCACCCATGCAAAAAAAAATCGCAAAGAAACACTTCATTTCAGCTTTTTACAGTGGTCTTACCCCCTAAGAAAACAGAATGCGCGTAAATCGGTATTTCGACTGCGTCTCTTCTCGTGGAAACCTTACTGTAAAATAACGTTTCTTCGAGGGTATTTTATTTATTCTGATATTCGAGACAATAAGCAAACCGACGTAAAGTCAGTATCGCCCAAGTTTCCCGGTTATGAATGAATCGTCGGTTTGGTCCGAAAGATGACCCCGACCGATAGCAAAGTCATGCGTTGCGTATCGCCACGCAGCGGTTCGTGCTGTGCGTACATCGTTATCGATGCGCGTGTTCCTTCAGGCGCCGTATCGTCGTCGACAGAAATCTTACGCATGAAAAATAATTTTTTCAAACGAACCAAAATTGCTTCTTTCTCTTTGTTATTTTCAATTCTAAACGGTTGTGATTGTAACCTTCCCATAAGCACTACGAAAGTCGAGGAACAGTACGCGCAAGTAGCAATGGGGTCGTCGAAAGGAATCTTACGCATGGGAAATAATTTTTTTAAACGAAATTGCTTCTTTCTTATGGTATTTTCAATTCTAAACGGTTGAGATTGTAAACCTTCCCGTAAGTGCTACGAAAGTC